TTCCTCAATTTTTGCTTCAATATTATTAATCCCCAAAAACCCTTTAATTTCTTCTAAACTCTCATAATTTTCAGGTACTAATTGTTGCTCTTCTTTTTTGGGATTCTTTAGAAAAGAACTCAACCTCATTTCTCTACTTCTCTTCATTTTTGAAGGAAAATGTCCTCAAAAATTTGGGAGTGATATAGTATATAAGTATAAAAATATCTTGAAGAAAGTCAATTAAATTTGGATGGTTACGTGGCAGCTTATCTTCTATTGATTGGCTAATAGATGGGCTTACTGTGTAGTGATTGGTTGAGATATGACAGCATGGAGGAGCTGTCATTGGGCCCACAAAAAGGCCTCTTAGTGGGCCTCCATTTAAGTGTTGGCCCTTTTTGCAATAAAAGTGATGGTAAAAATAATAATGTACAAAATTACTAAAAACTTAAACGTGGGTAAAATGAAGCCCAAGCCACGACACGAGTCACTTATTTTTAGGTACACACTCCTGCACCTAGAAATAGGTGTAACAACAGCACAATATGAACATTAGCTTTTCAGAAAATGAACATTAGGTTTCTTCTCCTTTATTTTTCTCCTTCATTTTTTATTTTCTCTCTCCTCTGTTTTTTTTTTATTTCCCCCCTTTTTTACACTTTTTTGATTGAATTTGTTTCTTATAACATGAAAATAGTTATTAAGTATGAATTTTTGTGTGAATTTCGATTTTGTGCTTTAATTTCGATTGATTAAGGTATATATGAATATTTGAATTCACAAATTATACTCTATATTTTCTCCTTTCTTCTTTGATTCCTTTTTCCTCTGTTTTTTTTTCTTTCTTTCTATTTTTCTCGTTTTTTTCGATTTAACGATTGAATATGTTACTTACAATATGAAATTGGTTGTTTATTTGATTTTTTGAATTCATATGAATTGATTTATTTTTTTTTAGCTTCGATCAATATCATTTGATTTTCTGCATTTTTTTTATCAATGAACATAATCATGCAAAATATGAACATATGCATAGGTTCCCTTAAATGTGAACATTAGCTTTTCAGAAAGTGAACATAATCATAAAACATATGAACATATGCATTTCAGAAAGTAAACATAACAATTCAAAATATGAACGTAAGCATTGGTTTCCTTAAAGTGAATATAATCATTTAAAAGGTGAACATATGCGTAAAAAATATGATCATATGCATTTAAGAGAGAGAAGATATGCATAAACAGACTTAATGAGAACAACAAATATTTTCTATGAATATTTACATTATGAACATATAAAATATTATTATGAATATAAGAAATTTTATTATGAACATAAAAAATTGAAGAAATAAAAATAATATGATTATGGAACATATGCATCTTAATTCATAAATATTAAAAATATGAACATATGAATTCAAAATATGAACATATGCATTGGTTCATTTTTGAATGTGTATGAACATAATTAAGCATTTTAGAAGGTGAACATATACATAAAAAAATATGAACATATGAATTTAGAAAGTGAATATAAGCATTTAAGAAAGTTTACAAACGGATTTAAAATATGAACATAAGAATTCAAAATATAAACATATGCATTTCGAAATGTGAACATAAAATATCCGTTTGATTTCACTAATTTTTTTGACAATTCCAATGATAAATTTCGAACAATATTCAAACAAAATTAAGTGATAATCATATAAATTCAAACAAAATTAAGTGAAATTTACATAAAATAGCCTTTTTGGGGAGGATCCTTTTGATTTTGCATCTCTTTCCTAATGTCCATTGAAGTTTTTGCAGTTTTTTAGTGAAAGAATGAAATAGAGGAGAGAGAAAATCATATAAAAGAAGAAGATTTTTGAGTTTGGAAATGACGTTACATTTATTGGGTGTGGGTGGGTGTATTGCAATTTCCGTGTTTTTTAGTTTTAAGGCTTTTTTTAATTAGGTGTGTGTAATTAGGTTTTTGGGCTACGTTGTTACACCTATTTAAGGTGCACAAGGGTGCACCTTAGACTATAAGTCAGTGTTAACTCAGTTGTCATGTTGTCCTTGGAAACAAGACCCAAATGTACCATTTTCTTTAATGAGGATTGTCCCTTTTTTTATGCAAAGATTGGATGCCCAAATAATGAAGTTATACCATAAAATAAATTTTTTATTTTTCTGAAAAAAAAAATACAAAGATGAAATTTGTGGGATAATAATAATTATGTAATAATTTTACTATGTATGTCATTAAGTTTTTCCAGTTTCCCTTTAATTTATTTATATAAGTTGTAAAGATTATGGAGCAAACAATTAAAGACATAAAGAAATTAATCCAATACATATTCGACTATCCATATATGATATATCTGTTTGAGCTTACCTTCAATTTAGTCAGCACGAAAAAAATAGAATTATAAACCTCTATACTGTTGTTCTCCCTATCTTTAATTAATGTGGGGCAACTTATGTGTTTTTATTTTTATATTTTGGCTAGCAATGTCTTTATGGATTTTAAACATAACTCATCCCATGTAAAGTGTTCAATAATAAGGATTAGATATTATAGCCTCTCACCTAACTAACCGACTCAAATACCATGTTAAATTCATTAACTATCAAATAATGGTCCCAAATTTCAGTCATCAGTTATTTGTTTTTTTTTTTTTTTTAAATTTATTGTTTAGAGAGGAACAAATTTAAATAGTAGTATGTATTATTGATTCATTGCAAGTTTGCAATGCATCTATTTCTAAGCAAAGGAAGTACATAAAATTATTACCGTTCCTACCATCCATTATGCAAAACAAGTTGCTATAACGTCAACATAATTCTTTTAGAGATTGGGCCATTGGAGACTTTTTGGTTGAGATGCTTTATCAAATATTTTAATAATTTCAGATTCATGTTTGATTATATTCAACTAAAATGACGATATTGTTATTAATTTTATTTTACCAGGTTTCATATAAATTTAACATGTGGAATTTTAAAATTTTTTGATGTTATAAAACCACGCATTAAGATAATTGACACAAATCTAATAACATGATTATGTTGTTTATAATTACGAAGTTTTAATCATTCTTTTTATACTACTGGTATGGCCATAGGACCGCTATATTACTCGGTATGAGATAGAGGCGGTAACTAATTTTCAAAAGAACTTGATATTATTGATTCATTGCAAGCTCTTGATATTAACAACTTAATGCAGAGTCAAATTTTGCATCGCGATGAGGGAAGATCATACATCTTCACACGGAGCAAATTTAATTTATAATCATTATATTGGGTTATTTTCAAACTTTAGTCGACTTATTCTCAAAATCTTAACCCAAAAATCTTCTAATTAGTTAAGGTCAAAAACTCTTTTATGCGGCAATAACATGAGTTTTCACGTGACAAAGACTTGGAATATAATACTTGAAGTCGTACGTACGAAACATCAACAACTACAATACTACAAGCAATTGATCCAATTGAGGTAGATTATGATCTAAAATGTTCAATTTATGTATTAATGCCGACTTATTAGAAATTGAAAAAAATATAATTACATGTGACAATTTCAGATTGCTTGTTCACTTTACATAATATCTTGATAGTAAAAGTATAGTAAATGTACAATAAGAGATAAGTGCGTAGCATGACACTCCGTAACATATTACTCAGCATACTCAAGAATAATAGTAATATAATTTGGATTATATCATAATCTTGAAGTCATATACTTATTACTTAATCAAGTACTGATTTTATAATTCAAAACTTGTATGAGTGAATGTCAACATGATGTAATTGCACATACACTTGAGCATTAGGTACAAAAAATTTAAAATGCATTGCATGTCTCCATCTCTTGTGAACGTCGTTTTATTAACTGTCCTTTAGATCTGTTTTTTTTTCTTTTCTTTTTTTAAAATTTTTTTTATCACCTGATTAATAATGGCTGGACTGATGTGACCTTATGATACACACGGTCTCCTTTCGCTTTTATGCTGATCATATGCAACCCGGCTTGATTACGCCGAGTTTGGGCATTAACTTCCGGCCCAATCTCGATATTCATATTTGGACTTGCAAAAGCCCATTCACTGGTTTTGGATTCACAACCTTTTTGTCTCAAAACAGGCCCAGCCCGATGCCTCAAGCTGAAAACTTTTTTTATACACATCAATCAATCAATCAATACTATATACTAAAAGACACACCAACAATAACATGTGTCATTCACTGGTGTGTCCTTAATTATTAATTATTTTTTAATATAAAAAATCTATTAATTATGGAAACAAATCAATTTCAAAAATAATATTATTTATTGTACATACTCCATTTTTTTTAACGGTTCATATTCCATATTAATGTAGTATATTTAAAATAAAAAAGATTTCACAAATAATTTTTCTAAAACAGAAAATTGGACAACTATAAACCAAATATTATATTCTTAAAAATATTTTGTGATATGTTTTACAACAAAAAAATATTGCTCGGATTTTTTGCCTACTTTATTTTTAATTGTGTATTAGAAGCTACAATTAAAATTTAACATATCACATACTTTTATTATTCCTTGACTAATTTATGATTATAATATTTATATATTAATATATAACGATCATGCACGGGATCTAACCTAGTATGGATAAAAGTTTAGTACGTATAAGGTTTGAGCTCACAACCAATATTAATTAGTCTTACCATAGGTATTGTAAATGTACAATGCTGATTTAAAAGTGTGAGAATTCTTTTACTGTATTTAGGAGGAAAAGTATAAGCTATTAATTCTTTGACTGTTGACTATTCCAGGCCCGAGCCTTGACTTGGACTGAACTCATAACTTGGATGGATCGATTAGGTCGGGTCGGGCTAATCCGGCTCGGTGGCCAACTCTAGTAAATTAGTAAAGGAGAGCATGTGAACTTAACACGTAAAGAAACAGCCGGCTTAGCCATGAGCTTCACTTAAATTTTTAAACAGTGGAGATCGATGACTTATTGACTCTTACTAATTCTACATTACAGGGAAAATTCCTATAAAACCCATGTTACTCTACAATCAGTCCACATGCAATTGCTTAATATTGACTCTTATAATAAATCATGCATTCATATGTTCTAATTTGTATACTTTCCCTTTCAAACCAACTTCAACGCCTGCAACTTTTTTATAATTACAAATTTGCATTGTTATCTTAACACTATTTTAATTGATTCTATTAAATATTAATCCTTGGATTATACGTTGTATGCACGTTTGCCTGCCTTTAGGAAGATGTTAAGGCATGAGAAAAAGTCAAAGGATCGCCCTACTTCACACAACAGCGAAAAATAAAAAATAAAAAAAATAAAAAAAATAAAAAGCTAAACTTTTAACAAGTACTTCTAATGCACTTAATTTTTGATTGCAAGAAAATGGGGGGAAATTTATGTCCATAGGGACTCTCTTTTCAGAGGGTCCTGAATTACATTGCCAGTACCAGTAGAAGCAGCAAAATCATTAAGGTACTGCTGGAGATTACTGAAGTTGTTACTAGTTGCTAATAGAAGCGATTTATCGTCTGGAAATTCTATCTGGTTTTGAAGTAACATTGTCGTAGGGTCTTGATGCATTTGGATGCTTAATATTTCTGCTTGAGCCATTGCTAGTTGCATTTGTAGCTGTGAAACTTGGTTTTGTAGGAATGAAATTGCACCAACACACCCGTAAACCGGGTCCCTAACCCTTGCATTTGCTTCGTATACCAAACTGCTCACTGCATCAGCTCTTTGCTGAACTGGGAGTTCCTGGATTTTTTAAAGAAAACAACAAATGCTTAGGATAAAAGATAACATAAACAAGAATCATCTTAATTGGTGTGACAATAATCTTCCAAAAAAATATGTTACTTGAGCCTTTTGTACTAGTATTGTTCTTTTCTAATTTGCGCAGAAAGGGAGGGGGTGTCAAACCTGCAACATTTTGCTGACATTGCTTGCTCCGAAGACCTTATGGACAAGAGCAAACCTTTGAGGATCATCAGGAGGGAAGTAAGGAGCAAAGATGCAATCTTTTGCGCAACGGCGTCTCAACAACTTGCATGACGCACAAGGTGAACTTCCAGTTCCACCCATGCTTATAGGAGCTTAACCTTTGATAAAGAAAATAAAAAAGAGAAGTCTGTAGCAGGACAGATGATGAAGTTTGATGGGAAAAAAAAAAAAGACAGGGATATGATATAGAAGCAAAATGAGCCTGGGTAACATATATTTATAGTACTTAATTAAAGAGGAGACTGTATTATAGTCTAAGAGTTGAATGGATCCCACTTAATTATATTAAAATAAGGTTCAAACTAAGAAACAGAGTTTATTAAAGACAAATTAGAAATTTAGAATATCAAGGAAAATGTATACAGAAAGGAGAGCTTGATTAAACGTACAACAACCCTCAATGGAAGGATAATGCTGAGGTTGAGGCAGTCAGGCAGAAATCCTTATGTAAATATTTACAACCAATTTTATCGATACAACGGTTTGATAGTACAGCATAGGATTAATAAACTGTATTCTCTTACAGCTTCTACGTAGTATAAAATTCTCTTACAGCTTCTACGTAGTATAAAATTAAAAGGGGGACATAAATCAGATTATTTAATTGATTAAGGAGGGTTTGATAGTACAGCATAGGATTAATAAACTGTATTCTCCATACATTACATGCAAGATTAGCAAGGGTAAAAAGGTCAATTAGCATATATAATAGAAGACCACCGCCTAGGCGCGTGATAGGTTGGCATCCATGCAATTGTTTCAATTTCACGTTCCCATTTGACTAGTTTTATTCTTCCTTCCTTAACTACTCTCATACACGTGAAAAAATGGAATAAAAAGTACAGCTTAAAAACACAGTAAGAGGTGTAATTAATGAAACAGAGCAACTGGGTCTTAACAAATAATGTAAAACATATAATTAACTAATAATTAAGCAGGTGGGATTAAGAAAAACCCTAGCTAGCTTAGTCACAATTAAGAGTGAAAAATGGGATCGACGTGAATGTTTGTTGGCAGACATTCACATCTTCACGTCAATCATAATCACGTATCACAATGTTATTTATGCTCTCTATCAAAGATCTTTGCCATCAGACCAACATTATAGAAGCTAACACATTGTCAAAATTTGTGGGTATTTGGGTCCTTCGGGATAAGATTCTATAGTTTATTTCATTATTCAAAACGAGGTAGTCATTGTTTTATAAACAACTACAAAACCGAAGAATATCTAGAATTTATGTGTCTATATAGAAGTATCACTATTTGGATTCATCACAACTAACAAAAGCTTTTTATAATTAATTGTCCACTACTTAATTTGTAATTGAATAAACAAATAAATAAACAAGAAGGTATAGTAAAACTTTAAGTTTAAGAGTCTATTAAATAAAACCACTTACATGTTCGTAATTGAATTTATCATCATTTAATTAAAATTCCAACTTACTCTCAACATTACTCCGTACAACAACATATTGGTGATATTTTGAGAATAAATTTTTTCTACAGTGCAAATGTACCAAATTTGTTCATGCCAGAGACATAGTGATGTTATCGCTTCATACATACATACCCCTCTTCTCCCCTAACTTGGCACATTAACAATTGTGTAATGACTTCATACATACCCATCTTCACCCCCCAACTTACCCTTGAAAATTAAATCATAGGATGCAAGTGTACCAAGCTTATGCATGTCAAAGACAGTTGTGTTGTTATCACTTCCTACATACCCCTCTTCTAGTCTTCTCCCCTACCTTTATACCAATTCACAAGTGTGTTTTTTAGCTATCATTTGTATATTTGTTCCTTCCGGGAAGATACAAAACAATTCCCAATTTCATGAACTTCTTTCAAAGAGAGTAATTATATCTAATTAAAAAAAAAAAATAGAATCGGTCAACAATAACCACTCAATGTGGATTATTGCCAATACATGGTGCAAGTATAGAAAGTCTGGATAAATGTTAGCCCTAACCAACAATTAGACACGTTTTACAAGTGTTTCAATACAAATGCATGAGGATCAGAAATGCCCTCCAAGTTTACTTGACTATTTAGCAAATTTCTTGAAAATGGTAACATATTGTTTTTATACAAATATACAGTATTATTTCATTTATAGTATTAATTAAGGACTTTGAAAAATACTACTCCGTAGAGTTCTTCCAAGTTCAAAACAAATCAGTTTTCACCAAACAATTGCAAGACTCAGAGAAGTTGCTTTTAAAGCCTCTGATTTTCTCTAAAATCCCTTGGAATAAATCCATAATTAAAAACCCGTTATATATTTATATTCACAAGCTAGTACAAGATATTACTCACGTAGACCATTCAACGAGATCGAACACTAAACAAAGGTCCAAGGATTATTAAATTAGAATGTCACTACAATAAGATTATACTCGTAATTTTATAAACATACCAACAAAGTTGTAGAACCCTAAAACCTACTCACAATGCAGCATTAAATGCAGTTCACATGATTCCAAGCTTTCTAATCTTTTGTTCCAAGAAAAACAACACTCATTCCACAATGGTCATTGTAAATTGAAATGTCTCAATTCTAATTATATTCAAGAATTAATGGAGGCATACAAAATAATGAAACATTCATATAGAATAGCTATTGAAAAGATAACCGAAAATCTTGGTATATCCTGACCTGATATATAGATTATGAGAAATGTGACATTTTATAGCACATAATATTTCCAAAAGTATAAGCTGTAGAAAAACATTAATGTAACTAAGTTGGATTACACTCATCCTATATATAATAACTGTAGCGTCTATTGATGTTTATAACGTAAAGTTTGGTAAATTGTTTAACTACAATAAGATCATAAGTCCAAATAATGCTTTATCTTGTATCCCATCTTATATACTTCTATTATTTTCAACACATCCGATAGGATAGAAGATCAAATGTAAAACCTAGTCACATAAAATGGAACTTGTAATACGGGTAGGTTTTAAACCATGAGCAATTTTTTTTAAAAAAAACCTTTTCTTAAATAGATGTATGCAATTACATGGTAATAAGGAAGTATTTGTGTAGACTAAAATCTATTGTAGGTCAAATCAATCCATATTGCAAGCCAAGCCATTGGAATGAGAGGGAAGAAATAAGTGGTTATCCCCAAGAACTGAAATTGAAGTAATATTTGAACTTATGACTTCCAAGGTCACAACTCATAAATTGAAACCCCTACTAACTACACCAACTACTACTTGGTCAAACCATCACTTCATTACAAACGTAACAAGTATACTTCATATGTTCTTCCATTTGATGTACTTAAACCTAATTTGACATATGCTCTTTTGATGTATACATATTGCAAAAAATTAAAATCAAAACATATTGCTAGCCATGTCATTTGATGTATGCTCAAATGGCTAATCAAATGCCATGAAATGCGTGTTCCCTAATTTATTAGAGGTAAGTGTACCTGAAATTTCAGGTCTAAGTTTTCAACCCCCTAAGCTCTAGGAAGAAGAGAAAAAACGGAAAAAACAGGTTTAGAACCTTGTAAAGTTAGCTTGTCTTAAGTGTATTATTTATTCATTGAACAAGGTAAAAAGAAAAACAGACATCTCTCACTACATAAGAGAAGAAGAATCCATGATAGGTCCAATGCACGCATTTAATGCACTTTGGTGATATGGAAGATTCGATTCTTGAAAATTGAGTACTTAAACATTTTCTAATTGATGCAAAAATTACGAGTACAAGCAATGTTTACAATAAAATTACTCACCACTGGAAAACTTGAAAGCCAACTCACCTCAACAGTCCAACTGCTTAACCAGAGTTTGTCAACAGGTTCCCAATGAAAGCATATCCTAATTCAAACCGCAATCTGCATCAACTGCATATTAAATAAAAATTCGGTATCAAGCAAAACAACTGTGCACATGGTTGCTGAAAATTAAATATTTCTTTTTTCCAAATTAGATTAGATTTTTCTCAAATCAGAATGAGATTCAACATGTTACCATGTTGAGTGTTAGTTCTTAAATTCTAAATGCAACATAAATTCTTATGGACGTGTTTCAGATGAATTTATGGATACTTATTTACAACTGAAACATATTTAGGTGATTTCTGATGTAAGAAAGGGTGATAATATGAGAATAGAGCTAGGCATAATCTTAAATTGGATGTATGCAACATAATCTTAAATCTAAATGATAGAGAGGTTGTTTCTAGTTAACCCTTGGTGCAATGTGCAGCTGTTGTCTACAACTTCAAAATTAATGAGAAGTGCGAGCGCAGGGCAGTTTAATGAGCTAAGATAGATCAGTCCATTATAATCCAATAGTCAACGAACAATAAACCATCAACTTCATTGGAAATGAGCTGGTTATATGAAAATGCATACCGCACACCATTTCTAAGATAAACATCTAAACCACTGTTCTGGCCGACAAACATTTATGTTGATTATAATAGAAGACTAAGTTGGAAGGACCTGTTCTGCAATAACTGAAATCTGGAAATTCCTCTGGGCTTGCTACTGATTTTTGAAAAGCAACAAGTTACGTACATTCTGCTGCTTGATCCCATCTCTAAAGCTTATGCTTGCAGTACATTTTGCCTCTTTAGAAAGTGAAGACTGTTTAATGCACAAAGTTTTCTTTTTCATGTACTCTGTGGCTTGCCCCTGAACTGATTAAACACCACAATAAGTAACTTTAAGACTTTAAGTGTTTTAAATGGTACAGGCAGATAAACTACAAACCTGCAATTCTGTTGGTTGTATATGACCAAACAATACTCTAACTAAATAACAACGTTCAGACAGGCCCTTAACTAACTAAATTATAGTACTATTATACATAATTATATTTGTTATTAAGCAACTAGCCTGAAACTACACAACAACAAAGAAATCCTACATAGTCTCATCCTAAATAAAACATATGAACGTTATTACTATCTATATTGGTCAGTATGAACTATTGCCCAGGTCTGGCACATCTTATTCTAGACATATCAATGCACAAATTCTGGCTCAAATATCAATCAAACCAAACCTCACATATAGGGCACTGCAATTCATGAAATTTGTTTCAATGATTTTGAGTGAAACAATGAAAATTTATGGACCAATGAAGAATAAAATAATCTGAAGAGGCCTAGCTATCAACCAGCTCCCACGAAAGAACTCCTTTAAGTTCATAAGAAAAATAATTCAGCATACTCTAGTTTCTAGCAGACATAATTAAGCACCTTTTGTGTTACTGATAAAACGAGGCCCCAAAAGCAACCAAAAAGACCCAAGAAAACAATATAACACACATGGGCGCGTGTGTACACATACATTCATATGCATACATATATGTACACACACATATCAACTACAAATGAAAACCTATAAAAAAAAAATTAGACAATATGGTAGAGGAAATAAAAAATACTAGTATATGAAGCCTCATTAGAGCCACATTTAGAATTTTAGATGCCGATAGCCTCATTTCTCAGTGCACAAAAGACTACATTTTATCCTCTAGAATCCTCATTCACTGAGGAAATCCATTATTTTCTTAACTTTGGCAAAAGCATTAAATTCAATAAAAAAAAAATGGGCAAAAGCAGAACCCTAGGCACTGGGGAAGGAATATGCTGGCCCCCACAAGACAATCAAGATATTTGATAATGGACCAGTTTATTTCTCCCTTCAATGTTACTGTGCTTTGGCTGTAGGACTTAAAAGTTGGCAATAAGCTTTCCATAATCTAAAGTCAAGCATGTGTTGAGAATTCCATGCCTATGTGAAGATGTATTGTTCCATGTCGGAAGATTAGAAAAGTGACTAGCATTTAAGGTTTGTGGGCTACTCCTCTTACCATATGATTTTAGGTTAGCATATTACTAGGCTTAAGTGCTAGTAGTCTCTCTTCCTATTATGGGCCCTTACCAAGGCCTAACAGCATGTCCTTGATTTGTGGCAACCATAGCCTCAAAATAATTATTAGTGATGATGGTGGAACCGTGGAACTTCATTAGTTCCAAATGGCCAAGGAAAAGCCATATAGAAGATAATTGGTGATTAGCCCATTGTATAGCCTGATTAAGCCATGAGCTGTATAGGCTGACTTGGGGGATACTTTACGCTCTTTAATCAAATCAGATTGCACCTTTCCACTATAAGAGAAGTTCTAAGACCCATAGTGGCATAGTCTTTAGCCATTGAGATTATGGCACTATGCAGTACAAGGAACAAATGACAGCCACCAACATAGAGCAATATTGGTACAGGCCATCAGACCACCAGGCACCAGATGTTCCTATGATTTAAGCTGTTGCTATATAAGTATATAACATTGCCAAATCACAGAACTTGTTGCACAAACAGGTACTACTGTATGAAAACTATACTAAAGGGCATATGCTATTTGCCTATTTGATTGAAGGTTATCTAGTATGAAGCTCAAGGCCCTTCCACTTGCAAAAGAGAGTTATTAACTACAGGTTTTTCTGCTAAATGGAACCCAGGAGCTCAGGGAGACTAACTTATGTTTTCTTCAGATAAGACTTCAAAAAGTCAGGAGAAATCTTGTGTGTGATCTTCTGTTTAGTGTCTAAAATTCACTTTCCCTAGCAATGAACAGTGATAGGCACCATAAACCAAGTACATAATTAGACTGCGGCATGTACCTTAATCTAATATTGCAGGGGATCCTTTGGCCTGTGGAGCTTTATTCTAATTGTTCAGGAGATATGTTCTGGACTGCTGAATTAAGAGCTCTACATATTTGCTCTGCAAACCTTGTAACAATCAAAGGACCGGAGAGCTTCTAAGATAACAACTTTAACAAGGGTTATATTTTTAATATTTTAGATGTCTTGTAATAGCAAAAGGGGGCATTAAATGGTACAATGATCAAGCAAAAAAGAGAGAAGGTATATAGTGCAGCAGATTTGCACCCAAAATAAAATGCCATGTGAATGAATTTAAACCAAGGACAATCAATCATATTACTTTATAAAGTTCTCTATCAGTCTGAAGAAGCTTAATATTTGGCCCTATCTCACGGTATCAGACTATCAGGTGTATGGACCACAGAGAATTAAAACAATATATGGGATTGCAGAAAGCCAGAGGATACACCAATGAGCCAATTGTTAGTTGTCTATACAGAAGAGGGATCTCAAACCCCAAGTTGTTGGTGGGTAGAAGCATTCATTCACAAGCTTAGTCACTATACACAAATCAATTGAAAAATAAACGACAAACCATCCATCAGGATTAGCAATGGGGCCCATGCCAACAAAAAATCAAGCAGGAGTGCAGGACAATTCCAAATATGAAACAACACATGAGCATATATGAAGCTTACCAGAATGGCAAGTAGATAATCTGATGGCAGTGTCCTTAAGCCTCTGTATTCTATTGATGGTACTCGCACTTTCAGAGAGATTGTCACAATTGAAGTCACTTTTGACATTAAGACACAAAAGAGCATATTCACATGCCTATTAAGAAGCAGAAAATTCAAAAAAGATCAAAAATATGGCTGATGATCAGGTATTATTAATCAATGACATATTTAGGTAGTTTCTATTGGATATTATAAGTAGAGGCGTAGAGCATTTAATACAGGCTATACTGCTAGAGCTATCAAATACCGAGCCAAGCCAAACCCAACCCAATCCAACCCGGCAACCCGCCTGACTGCCTGAGTAGATAGCTCTAGATAAAGCTAATAAACCAACACTGTGAAATTTTGTTCTTTGCTAAATTAGATGGTACAAAGTATCATGATGCTCACTGTGGTAGGTGTACAAGTAAAACATAAAATTGACTACTGTACTAATGTACACCACTACAACCTGAAATATATGTGGTGACTAAAAAAATCGAGTACTCTACGTATTAAATTAATACAAAAACACTTGCTGAATGAAAGCTCAACAGTGAATTTTTGTTGCTCATAATAAACAGGTACTTCTGTTATTAGAAAGTTAAATTATACTTCACCTCAAACCAAAATGCCAATAACAAGAGCTATCCGAGTCCACTATTCTTACTTCCACACATTTAAGGCAAATAAATCATAACTAGTCAATCGAAAGGCAGTCTTAAAGCTATCAATCAGATACAGGCATACAGCCACTGCACACCGAACTATGGGTGCATTTAATCCAATTTGCAGTGTACAAGTAGCAGTAAAAATAAGGCATCATAATCATTTTATAAACCATCAGAATTGTAGAATTCTCAATTTAGAGAAATCACCTTTGCAGTGACCGAGTAAAAATCATTGTTAAAGGCATCTTCAGCAAAATTCATCCATTCACAGCATAAAACTCGCAGCTCCGGATGATTAATTGTCCACGAATCACGCATAACTAAACCCTCATATCTCACAGCCAAGCAACTCTACATTCACAACAACATAATTCTCATAATTTGATGGAATTTAACATAATCATTCATATTAGGTCAAAATTAACGATTTCAAAACTAGCATTTAGGACAACTTAGCATCAAATCATCATCAAAACATACAAATCAAAATTCAAGAACAACGAAACTGAAAATTAAAAATTATAAACAAAATTGTGAAGAAAATTCAGGAAAAAAAAAAAAAAAAAGGGGGAAACCTCAACGTCACCGACGATCGCAAAAGCACGAACTAGAAAATCGAGAATCAATAGCTTTTGTTCGACTGATCTTTCTGAAGCTTCGTGGATGACAATGAGAGATTCTGACCTAAGATATTCTTTCAATCTACTTCGAAAATCGAGCAATAACTTCACGTCCTTTGATGATAGAATCAACTCCAGAATTCGCAGCGTAGAATCATCAAATCTGCAACCAAAATTCGGAAAATAAAATAAAATAAAAAATAAAAAAATAGTGTAAGATGATTGTTGCAATAGAATAATTACTAACAAATTGATCGATAATATTGTACTGTATATTGTAATGTTGAAAGAGGAAGAACCTTCTGAGTTTGAATTGGGAGAAGAAGAGAGAGAGTTGGTGGTTAGGGAGGAAAATATCCGCCATTTTTGGAGAGAAGGAAATGAATGCAGCAAAATTGTGAGTTGTGAAATCGATTGCAGTTGATATAGGTTTTGGTGCGGTGCATGAGTGCGCTCCGAAGGGATTACGTAGTATAATAATCGGCCTAGTTCCAAATTCGGCCTATTTGTTTGGACTTAGGCCTATTTACATAAACTGAACCGAGCTAAATTGAACTGATTAGAGTTGAACTGAACTGATTAGAGCTAAACTGAACTGAAGTGAAATGAATATTTTATGAGAGAGGGAAATTAAGAGATGAATTAAACTGAATTGAAATTAATTAAATGTAAACAGACCCTCAAGGTCTAGAAGTATAAGTGTATATCTATAGGTTTATGATGAACACATTAATTGATTGATGAGCTTTAGGTTTTTCATTTTATGATCTTGATTGATTGATGTAGTAGTTTGATATGTTAGATTCTTAGCTGGTTTGCTATATGGATTCAAAGTATATTGATCAAGATTTTCCAAATATACTTGTATTTATATTATCTTAAGAAATATATTTAATGTGTTACAAAAAATGAGAAGGTGTATTGCTAGTATTTCTGTGTTTGACTCGCATCTTTGCGTAAGGTTGGATGATTTCAATGAAGGGCCAATAATAACATGTAGTGCCACTACCCCCAATACTATTGTTGCCTTCTCAAAAAGCCTCCTTATACCAAACTTTTGTTACCAAAAACATAATTATCACATTTAGGGTAAATTTTTATACAAGAACTCGAAGCTTGCTTGGTCAAATCGATTCACTACAAATATTTCCCCTCAAAATCTATCGTATGTTATTCATTTCCCCTAGGGGTTTAAAATATCATTAAAGAGACACATACACAACTTGGTATATATAGTATGCCAATAAGCCAATAACCCTTGAAAAATACTTAGTTTTTTTAGTTAAATTGCTAATAATAATCAGGTTTACTCATAAGACAATGCATCATGCACTCCGCATTCTTGTCAGATGACAAGCTTTTGAAAATAATGTACACAATTAGTACGTCTCTCATATTTTGTTTGGGACAATAAGGGTCAGTTTTCTTCATCTTAATTTCAGTTCAATTTAGTTCAGCTCCAATCAGTTTAGTTCATAATTTTTTTCTCTCATAAACAATTCGATTCAATTCAACTCCAATCAGTTTAACTCAATTCAGTACATCAAAACAGACCCTAACAGGTTTGTTAGTTCATACCCAGTTATACCAAATTCATATTGGTCCGACCCATGTCCAGTACAACACTTTATCTGTCCTAAAACAACTCATCAAACAAAACGCAAAAAAGAAGAGAGATGGTTAAACTGAAGCCAAAATTTCTCTCTGGTCAGTTGATCAGAAGGGCAAAGAGCCACAACGGGGCAGAGGTGAAACACAAACAAAGATGGCCGGAAGACAGCCGCACTCACGAGCCCCACCACCGTCGCATATGACGCGCACTACCGTGAAATCCAAGGCCTCCTTCTCGACCAGAAAGAAATGTCAGCAATGCACGCGACTCTCAAGCAAGAACTCGCCGCCGCCGATCAGGAGCTCCGGAAACTAACGGCCGCCGCTCGAAAATTCAGGGAGGAGAGAGAATCTCAAATCAAGGAGCTTTACGAAAAGTCCCTCAAATTAGAGACCGAGGTTCGCGCCATTGAGGCCCTAAATTCTGAGCATACCCAAGTTATTGGTGATATTCAGAAATTGACTGAGAGTAAGATTCAGTTTACTGCTCAATTAAAGGTTCTTGATACTGAATTGTCTAGGGTTAAGATGGATGCTTCTCAGGTGCCTGAGATTCAGGCTTATGTTGATAAAATGGAGCAAGAGCTGCAGAAAGGAAGGTAATTTAATCTTGATTTCTCATTGAATTTCGTTTATTGCTTTCTAATTTCATCTATAAAGTTGATTGATACTTGTGAAATTGGAATTGTGTATGGGATTTTGTTTATTTTAAAGCATTTGCATGTTTTTTTAATGAACTACTATTATGTTTTAATGGAAAAGGGTTTGTTAGGAATTCTGTGAAATTGGGCTTATGTTTGCGAATTTGATCAAAGGTCGTCGAGACTTTAACCAACTAAGCTAGTTGAAATTCACTCGATTGTGGGATTGTTTTGGTTTGACTATGATTTTTAGTTGGCTGCACTTTAGAAAAGTTATGTGGGTTATATTAGTGGTTTCTTTACTATAAAAGAATTGCAGTTATGGGATTGTAAAGTGTTTTAAGTGTTATGCTCTAGTTGAAAAAATAAGTTTATGTTGAGAATTTCATGATTCATCAAGTTAGGTTTTGTTCGACTTAAGGTTTGGGATTGTCTAAAATAAGCTCTTCTTTTTTCTTGTCGTGGTCGAATATTGGGGACATCAACAGAGCTGCAGTAGAATTCGAAAGGAAGACTAGGGCAGCTAACCTTGAACTGAATGAAGCAATGGACAGGAAAATGAATTCTCTGCAACATGATATTGAGATGCTACGTGCTGAGCTTGCTAATGCTGAGAAACGAGTGAGGGCGGCTGCTGCTGCTTCAAATCCAGGCATGCAGTTCCTCACAGTACCTTTGAAGAGTGTCCTACCCGTGCAATCTATGCACTGTAATTAAATGCTGCAAAGTTCCACAAGTAGTATTTACATGTTCTGATAATTTCTGTATGTGTGTTTCATGTACAGATCTTGGATACACGGGAAACTATGAGAGTCGTAGTATGGCTTACGGAAGAGGTCCTTATTCTGTTCAGTATTCCATGCATCAGGTATGCCAGCATTATTAATTAACAATCATGTCTCTATGAAGCTGTGTTCATTTTGATATCAGTTTGCCCAAGCTACTTTAGGAGATAGCTGACTGATGTTATGTCACATTGGAAGGACTTTAAAATAATAATAGCTGTTATCCTCAGGATTACTTTCAGAAAGAAACTATCAGTTTGCAAAATCATTGGTTGGTGCCTTAGTGGAGTTTATTCATGATAAATTTGGTTGGACTGATGTATATAGGAATTAAGTCAGTTTAGGTGAACAAAAGTCCAAATTGTGCTTTTGAGGTCAGGATTTGTAAGAGACTAAGAGTAATCAGAGTGCTTATAAAATACCCTGCTATTGGTTAATGGACTACCAAAAATTGAGTCAATTAACTGTCCACAGATAATGTCATTGAGTGGAGTAGTGGAGTTGGAATGCCACAATACAGGAAGGCCCATTATTCTAGCTTTGTTTATTTTCACCAAAAGATTGGTGAAAAGTTCGATTAAGGGTCAAGAAGCTTGTAGTTTGGGTAGCTTAAATAAATGCTTCCAAGTTCATTTTATTTAAACTATTAACCTCAATTGAGTTGTAAGTTTAAACAAGGACAGATAAGTTTTTTTTGGTTCATATGAGGGAAATTTATTACTCGGCTGAATAGAATAAAACCAGAGTCCTATGTTACTTGGAGAAGGGTATGGATATTTCGCTCTTATAACAAGGACAGATAAGTTTTATTGACTCTGTAATGTCGACACCTAGGCTTTATCAGTTGCCTCTTTTTTTTCTCCCTTTTTTTTTTTTTTTTGTCAGCTCCTAGTTTTGTATGAAGGCAGGAGAGAGAAAGGTTGAAAGGGGAGAGGAAGAACCTACAAGGCTACAACCCCAAATCGTAAACTAGTGAACTACAACCAGCTACAGCTTTAATGAAGCACAAAATCCCTCAAGACTTCTGAAATCCACCTTTTATATAATTTGGGTGGGTTAGACGGCGGAAAAGGATAAGCAGCAATGAGAGAATAGGGGTAATGTTCAGCTCGATTTGGTGCTAAGCTTAAGAGAGAAGGGGGAACCCCACAAGAAAATGGACGATGAAGGTGTCAAGTGGATTTGGTTTGGGTAATAATCATGTGGGTGAAATGGTTGTGTTAGGGACTTTGAAGGATTCTAAGGGTCCTTTGACTGAGCCAAACCTAGTTCATGTCTTCATGGTTCTTTTGATAATGAGATAGAGTTGCAATTTAGGCACCCCAACATATTAGGGAAGATGCTGGTAATGATGTGGTTGATGAAAGCTTTTTTTTTTTTTTTTTTTTGGGGGGGGGGGGGGGGGGGGTTAGTGGGTTGTTTAACTTACAACCATTATTGTCGTTAGTGATTAATGTGTCTGATTCTAGTGGACAATATCATTGAAAACTCACTGTGGCAATGTGAGTAACATTATTATTGGAAAGATTCCTGTGCCTGACTGACCGGTCCATCTCAATGAGGGGAAAGCCTTGAACCCATGACATATGTTTCCTTTCCCATTGTGTTTAGGACTTTAGGGTATAAAGTTGCTTATTTGTGAATAAGCTTTCTTCGCTAATGCCTCAACACTGAACAGTGCAAATGTTGATGATTCTGAAACAGCATGGCTGGTGTAAAGCATAATTTATTCTGCTTTGTAGGAACTCTATAGGTCATGTCATCTTATATTTTGTAGCATAAGCAAAGTCGAAAGTTACCTGAAAAACTACACCCAACTTGTATTGCATTTCCAACGTTGCTTGACGGTGTTTTGCATCTTTTACTTTATAGACAAGTTAATGACTTTCTTAAGTTTTTTTTTCTTTGGCTGGCAATGATTTGAGGGCTCTAAGGCATTATTATATTTTTATTCACGGTAAACATCATCTGAAGTCACAGTCTGTGTTATATTTCAGGGACAACTAATGGCGGACAGTGCCTCCTTGGCTCTGTATGGACGTCCATGTAGTCACGATCCATTTGATGCACAACAGCCCCATGTACGGAAAGGATAATTCCATTTGGCGACTTGCCTTCTCATTTGTTTTAAGGCTAACTGCAAACATTAACCATTAAAGTAAATGACCTTGTAAACAGATTTAAGCTGAAACCAGACAAACGGTCTGGGAATATAGGTAGTAAGTCACACACCCTCGACCTTTCAACTTGGGCGAGAACAAACTTTCTGCTCCAATGATTGAAGCTGCCAGCCTGCCTCCATTAGGTTTACTCTTGGATGTGCAGTAACTTTCTCTGTCGTATGCACTCCATTATATTCAATGACTGCCAGAATTTTACTGTAATCTCGAGTCAGCAATTAAACAAGTCCGGGTAATTTTGTAATAGAAGGTATAATCTGTTGATACGCTTTACATGTTTAGATTCCCATTGTAAAAGCATGGAAGAAATCATTCTAAATGTGAAAATGTTTTGGTGCGTGATCAATAGGATGTGTGATTTGTTTATTTACCCAACTAATGGATCAAGGAGACCTCTGAGGTTCTGAGTTTCTGACCATATTATCAATTATACAAAATGGCTAAATGGAAAACAATAATAAGCTCAGATTAGATTAGAAAAAATAAGTTCAGGTTCAGGTCAGATCATCATTTATGTACAGTTTTTTTATCGTTAAATATCTTTAATTTTGTGATGAAAAAAATTCTGAATATCACATATTAATACAATACATATTATATTATTACGAATCTAACAAGACCCTACTTGATTTATTTTTTCCGTATAAATTATCATATATTTAAGGTTAAAGTTTGGTCAAATTTGACATTCAGATCAGACCAGATAAAATCAGTTCAGATAAGCAAATATAAGGCGAACTAAACAGGACATTACTCTGTCCCTCGCTCATTCTTAATTATAACCCTACTTCATCACCCTTTGTAATACATTTCAAATTTACAACTTCAGTGACCAAAATCGGTCATCGGAAACTGTTTTTGGTATCTTAACTTGACTATTGGTTTTTAGCAATTCTTTTGCTGTAACTTCAATTTGGGTCACGAAATCTGGACAGACGATATACTCTATTTCAGTTTTAACTTTTAAGGATAGAAATTTAGTTTTACATAACTATGCTTAGAGGGAATCAGACACTATTTAAATAATTTTTTTTTTTGAAACAAGACACTATTTAAATTTTGTTATGGTGTACGTACTTTGTAGGTTCAAACAATTCAATTAATTGATACCACCGCCCACTTTATAAGAACCACATAAACTACAATTGAAGAGAACTAACTAAACTGTAAATGGAAGTAAAAGCAATGAGACGCATTGAAACTTGAAAGGAAGCCAAAATGTACTATAGCTAATTAATATCAACCTTTTATTGTAGTCAGTTATACAATGATTATTAAACAAAGTTCTACAGTTTAGATTCAGCACAAAACTAACTCCAAAAGTAAAATTCTAGTGCTTTTATGCCTATTACGCTTTTGTTAAAGAAGTTTGGCAACCAAAGAGCATGTCTGAAAGCAGCAAGAGGACACCAAGCAAACTCCAAAACACGATTGCATTAGACCTGCCAAGTCTTCAAGCCCATCACTCCATTATCTTCCATATGCTTTGCGCCAGATAGATGTTACTTTGTATCTCAAGTTGTTATTACCAGTTACTTAAAATAGCACGCAAACCAACAATAATTTGACAAGAGAACTAAGAGCACACAACCTATAACTATGTAGTGTATGTACTATCAAGAAACGAACATCAATAATACTTTGAACAAAAAAGCATGGACGGATGTAGTTCGGAGGCTGATCTCTTGAGTTTGATCCAATTTCAACTCAAAACCAACAAATACAATTCAAGGGCCAACTGAATGTCACTGCAAGCTCTCAGTTCAATATATTTTTTTTCCAATTCCACTTGTCATCTGTAAGAATTTGCTATCTAGTCCTATCAATCTTACCAAAAACTTGAAATTAGTTTCCAGCAAAATATAAAACTAACAGTGACACCAAAAAGTTCCCCACGTATCAAGCAAAATCAACAACTGCGCTCACAAACCTTAAAATCAACTCAAAAATGCAATCTAAGTCTTCACTATAAGCTAAAGATAAAAAGAAAATCCACTAACTAAATTTTCTAAACAAAGATATGCAGTCTCAATAAAGCAGCACTCACCTGAAAGTTCAACTACCATAGCAGCAATTTTGAGATTTATCCACTTGCCTCTATAAAAGACAGTCACACAGTTCAAATCAATCCCAACCCTAGAAAAAAACCCCTCGAAGTAAACTACTAAAGGAGTAAAGGGGCATTGCTCAAAGCAAGTGAACAACCTACCTCTTTATCTCCTTTTGGGAACAACCCCGCAGCGAGACTACAATAAAATTCCTCAAGACAACATTTTTTCTTAGTACATAATATGCTCGAGAAATTCTCAGTATGGGCGAGAACGATTTCCACCATGAGAATGCCTATCTGGACCTCCATAGTCTCTTCGACGATCTCCACCTCCATACCCACCTCTAGCACCGCCTCTATAGTACAGAAGAAAACATTACAATAAGGACACATTTTTACAGCATACAAAAAACCATATAATCAAGAGAATACATACGATAACGAGAGAGAAGCGATAACTGATCACACAGGCAAGAAATATATTCGTCCACAAGATGCTAGCACTCTAGCAGCACATTCTAAATAAGCCTAATAAAAACTCATTTCAAGCCCCTTTGACTGAGTGAATAACTCAGCACATGTCATTCAAGAGGCTGTAAACAAAATTATGTAATTACCAAACAGCAAGAATGTCATTATGCATAAACAAAACACTTCAAAACACCCTCTTAATTAAAGTATTGCCAACATTCTCACATATTTTAAAAATGATAGATTATCCCTAATCTTCAACAAAATTGAACAGAATGAAATCAGCTCCCTGAAAAATAACAAAAGCTTACACGCACCAACAAACAAAATGTAAGGTGGGAATGGACGACCGCATCAAAACGCAACACTTCGTGTTAAGTTGGGACCCAAATCCCACCTAATTTTCAATCACTATCAATAGCAAACACAAGAGGATCCCATTTAGATATACAAGTCAGTTCACCAATAGCATATTAGCATGGTCAAATTGAGCAAAGAAAAATACCCAAAAGATTGAGGTGCCCTTGGAGCAGACTTCTCTGCCATTGTAACATTGATCTTGTGCCCTCTGATATCATAGCCTATATCAAAAGAAATCATATCAAGTAACTAATAAATCAAACTCGAAGATAGATTAAATGAGACATTGACTCCCAAGAGTCCCAACATACCGTTAAAAAATCCCCTAGCAGAATGAGCTGCTGATGGGTCCTCATATGACAAAACACCATCACCCTTGTTCTTTCCACTATCATCTGTGTACAGTTTTATACTGTACGGCCACTGATCCTTGTAGCCCCTCTTTTGCTTGATTCTTGCAACCTGAATACCAAACAAGATGTTAACTATTAGAACCACCAATTCTATAAAATTTGGATTTAACATGCTCATTCTGTCCCAGGCTACTATTCAGCTATCTCTTATACATGTATATAGATACATGAAATCCAAACCAGAGGCGAAGGACGTATTAAATGCCATCAAAACTCATCACATTTACAGTATCATATTCGATCCATCATTCTAACCCCTGATATTATCTCTGATTCCGCTAAAAGAATATTGACAAATGTATAACATTAACATGAAAAACACTTCCTCCTGAAACTAAAGATTATGTTTGTAAAAAAAACCCATGAACTTGTAGAAACACCAAGAGAAAATTCTGCATCAGAAAATTAAGGAAGCAGAAAGTTCAACAGATATTTTTTGGAAAAAGGGCTGTGTGAATAGTTGCCCATACAGTATATGAAAGAAAAGGATGGGAAAACACCAGAATGAGAATGTGTTAAAATCTAGCAGAAAAGTGAGGGGCGAGAGCAATTAGTACTCTAATTTATAGCAGAACTAGTAAACAGTCAAATACCAAACAAAATTCAGAATAAAAAAAGAAAATTAAAAAACAAGCAAAGGAACATTTAAACTATAGATAACAACAGTAACAAATCTTACAATTCCAATGCTTCCAAAAAGTTCTCTAAGTTCTTCAATAGCGACATCCGGTGGCAAATTCGAGATATAAATCCTGGAGTTGTCACATGAATCTCCGCAGTTTTCATCACATTGCTTCACTTTAGGAGGTTCAGCAGAAGTAGGAGCATCGCCACCATAACCACCACTAGACTGTCTTTGACCACCACCGTAGCCACCACTAGGGGGTCCACCGCGGCCAGCACCACGATAATCTCCAGAAGCATCACCACCATAGCCACCTGCTGGTGCTCCATATGATGGAGGATAGGAACCAGGCCCACCAGTATAACTTGTAGGAGGAGGGACAGCAGAATCATTCCCATAGACAGGGTTTGCTCCATAAGGGCTCGGTACAGCTCCACCATAAGAAGGTGCAGCTGGGGGAGCCTGGCCATATCCACTGTCATTTCTACCCTGACCATCACCATAAGAACCACCTCTGCTACCTCCACTTCTTCCACCTTCATAATTGTTATCCCTACCTCCACCCCTTCCACCGTCATAATCCCTACCCCTATCCCCTCTATCACCTCTATATCCTCCACTGCCTCCTCTATTGTAGCCACCACCTCCACCCCCACCTCTACGGTCACCACCACCCCCACCACCACCGCCTCCAGCACCCGCAGGAGCAGGTTCCCCGCATTTGTTACAAGAAGTTCTTCTAGCAAAGTTCAAATTCCCACAACTACACAAAATTTTAAGTTTCAATTGCTAAACTTCAAAAATTACGAAATTAACTTTTGTAAAACAAATATTAAAACATCATCTCAGTCCAGCAAAATTAATACAGAAAAAGAGATTTTTTTATCGACCTTTAACAAGATCAAATACAACAAAAACACCCAAACATATATACTCCGCATATCACCAATTTCAACAGCTAGCCAGATTCAGAACAAAATTCAAATACATATAAACAAAGCAACTTTACTTTGTGGAATAAAGATCTAACTTTCGCAGCAATACAAATTATACTTACAGTCTCACACTCTACCAGGTCCTATAACTAAATTTATAGCCTAACAATTTGAAATTAATATCTTGTATGCAAATTTCAAAACAAAGAAAATAAAAAGAAATAAAAATTACCCAGGATTAGGACAGGGCCAATCGCCATCTCTTCCACTTCCTCCACGGCCACCGCCGCCGCCACCACCGCCTCTTCCACCTCCACGACTGCCTCGATCTCCTCCTCCTTGATATCCACCACCTTCAAACAACACAATCACAAAATTACACACATTACAACAGCGAACAGCAACACTAACCAAAACAATTATCTAATCAACAAAATAATCGAAAATACAATAAATTATGAGAAAGATCAAATGAATTACCTCGACTATCAGAATTACCGCCATATCCACCACCACCACCTCTACCACCGCCACCATAACCTCCTCCTCCACCACCACCGCCACCACCTCTCCCACCGCTATAACCGCCACCTCTGTCACCGCCATATCCGCCACCTCTGTCACCGCCTCCATAGCTTCCGCCGCCATAACCACCGCCGTATCCGCCTCCGGAAGGAGGAGGATTGGATTCACCACCACAGCCGTACATCGTGCGACGAGATCTAGGGTTTAGTTAGAATAGAAACTAGAGAGAGAAAATTAGAGAAAAGGTAGAGAGAGAAAGAGAAAAGAAGCGGAAAATTGGTAATAGTTGGGGAAGGAGGCGATTATAGGAGGATGTAGTTCTAGGGTAAGAGAGAGAGAGATAAATGAGTCGAGTCAGCGTTTTTTTGGGTTTAAACAAAATTTCCAGTTTAGACCAGCCAAGTTAAGAGAATTCTACAGATATTTTTGGTCTTTTTGTTCTTGAACTTTCCCTTGGTTTTTTTGTTTTTGTTTTTTTTTTTTTTTTTTTTTTTGGTACAAAATTAAACGAGTATTTTAGGTCTATTTATTTTTAATTTTTTTAAAAAACAATTAGTCAAATTTCAATGGATATTACTATGTAGAAAGTAAAAAATAAATTAAAAAATAATAATTTTAATTAATGAATTATGAAATGAAAGTTGCAACACTATTACATACGTAGGATTTTGCTTTTGTCAAAGTCAATCGTAATTCTAATGAAGGAAACAATAATAAAACAATCTTAAAGGTTAAACATTATTTGCAAAATGCTTTGCTATTCTCAAAGATTTATAGTATGTTGTTCTCTTTTATACAACGGGACTCTATATTTTGACCTTTAAATCTTAAATATGGGTAAGACAATATGAGTAAGACACTGTAAGGGCCTGTCCTCATTGACTAACTCAGCTGAACTGAGTTGAACTGAATTGAACTGAATATTTTATAAGAGAAGGAAATTAGGAGCTGAACTGAACTGAATTGAATTTCAACATAAGAGAACAAGCCCTAACTCTTCATTTTGGGTCAATATCATGTAAAATTTTCACTAAATAGTCAAATCTATCACTTAGAGTCTTAGACACGTACCCTTGTCAACCGATGGTTCTCCCCGGTCCACATGTTCATAGAAAATGGAGAAAAATTATTCATGAAAAGGCTAACTATCAAAACTGGAGAATATTACTGGAAGAACGCATATTGTCAAGATCCAATGAAGTCCTCCTTTCATCATGTTCAACACTGCTGTGATTTATACAGGGTGAAAGAAATCAGAAATAACAATGTACAACAGTCATTCTAAGCTTGGACAGAAAAACTTGCAACCAACTCAGATAAATTAACCCAGCCTAAACAGCAAAGCAAAAGGGGGAGCCTAAACAGTCATTTTAAGCTTGCTCTCCTTTAACAAAATCTCTAGGAAGCAGCTACATAGAAACTGATGAAAATTGCTGCTTGCCATAGTTATGAGTTTTGGAGCTACATAATCATATCAGAAATACTGCCATGTACAAAAGAATCAAGTACATTGACGAAGGCACTTGGAGAAAACCTCCGTATGCAGTCCGGAGTTGAACAGAAAATCTACAATTATCTACAGATGGATCAACAGTAGTAACCAGACCTAACCCTCCAAATTCGCAGCCATCAGGGCTTTGATCATGCAGCTGATAATAGCTATTGAAAGCATAAGAAATGTTCCCAGGCCAAGTAAGATTATAACACGAGCCCCCAGGAGAGAGGGCACTGCAATCTGCATTGGAACATGCATCTAAGGCACTTGCTGTAACATTGCTAAGATCTTTGTTGTCATTCACAACACACCATTTGGCAGAGAGATACTCCACATTCTGAGCATTTACGAGGCTTCTTGACCCTTGGCCAAAATCAACGTTGTATTTAGCTTGTCCGTCAAAAGTAAAAATTCCCCAGTGTCTCTCAAAACCACCATCAACAATGCTTTTTTGATCCTCGTCTAAGAGACTGAGAATGTATGCTTCTTTTGGTGGTTTATGGGGCCTCAATGGAGTCCCTGACTTCTTACGAAGATGGCTCAACAAGCCTTTCATGAATGTTTCAGCTGTGGAGGAATTGGCATTAACCACTCCGTCTGTGGGCCATCCAATCTGGTCAATGATGATATCCATTTGGGGAAAGCCAGCACCTGACATTGCAGTTACCAAAGTATCATAGCTCAAGTCAAAGCTATTGTCATAGACCTTTTTTCCATCTTTATGAGGGTGAGAAGTTTCCTTAAAGAGGGAGAAATGAAGGGAAATGTTTTTATTCTGTTGGAAAAGGTGAAAGGGAGATATGCTTGACATAAATGGTGAGTTATGTTTAGACAGAAACGCAAGCAGCTGGATCATGGTCTTGTTGAGATCAGACCTAAAGTGCCCCTTAGAAGGCAACCCAGATTCTGTTTGAAAGGCATCATAACTACATGGAATGACCACCTTTACCTGGTCTGCTATGTTTGCCTTAGTTAAGGCTGCTTGAATGTTCATGGAAGCACCAACAACATAAGGAACATACTGCCCACCATAAGATTGCAGAAATGGACTGTCCCCAACAGCAATGTACCTGTCAGCGATCAGTCAATAAGGACAGCAATTCACTCACATAAAGAGGAAACATAAAGAAAAAGAACAATAGAACATAACACTCCGATTTATAATATCTTAAGCAGCTAACCAATTGGTGGGATTACACAGTACGCATCGATTTGGTCTAGCACAAACTAATCCAGAGAACCTAAAGAGAAGCATCACTGAAATTTTGAGAAATCAAGATGTCTTAGCAGTTGCCATCTACAGGTACCAGCATCCACTTCTCTCTTTAAAGTTTAAAATGCCACTAGTCTTATTATGTTTATCGATAACATTCAGTTGCAAAGCCTAATAATGTTTCCTCCTAGTAAAACTGTCCAGCCAAGTGCAAAATCAACAGTAATCTACTTTTACAAAGTGAACAATTAATGATCTTAAAAGCAAACACCATATGTAACATGTTGTCAATCCAATGCTTCTATAGGACCCTGCCTAGGATGCACCAAGAGTTTGAAGATAATGAGTGCCAGTGGATAATAAATCTTAGAAGCTGGTGATGGATAAATTGTGTTTGGATTGCATCATAAGACCTTGAAATTCCTGCCTTCTGCCCTTGCATGATGCATAGTAATTTTAGTTTAAACAAGTTCAAAAGGACTGTATTCGCTATTCGAGCACTAGTTTATTCTTTTTTGGGACAGAGTCGAGCACTACTGCACTAGTTCAGCAGGTAACTTGTATGAGTCTTTGCAGGTGAGGATGAGACTATATCTGAAGTCTGAACCAGTGAACCCAATCCATGCCCTATACCCTCAACCCAGCTGAGACAGTACACTCATTAGAGGTATGGGTAAACAGAATGGTGCCCTTACAAAGTACACCATCATTCGAGACTCTGGAGTATGGATATAGTTTATTCAAGAAGCATATATATTAACACAACTAGTGTCATCACAATTCAACATCACAAGTCTAGTGATCACAAATTGAGAAAACACGGTGTGCCCAATCGTCCACAATTCTTTTATCAGCCAAGTAATTAGTTAGAGTGTGGCCATGGTTATGGCACGGGCTACAAAGAAAATACATTTATAGCAATCTATGAGACACAACTAATGCACATGGGTACGTGATTAAACCAATGAAAAACCAACATCGTAGTTGCAACAAATTCACACACACCGTGACACTGTCTTACGTGATATAATTACCCTTCAAAATCATAGCGATGCTTCTTCATTTTTTAAGGAACAATAGGTGGGGGAGTCATGAAGCATTATATGTGGTTGGAAAAATGCACACCAACCAAGTTGAAACATGTCTTAAATTACAGTTAACACTATATCATCACTACAACACGCCATTATTATGTGCCTTATATCAATGCTAGAAATGGAGGAATAGGGATGAGAGAACATCCCACACAGGCAAAACGAGCTTCCATCCTAAAACCAACCTTACAATGTACAAGTCGACAACATACTCACACTTGTACCCAATAAACGGATAAACGCGTCTAAACAATTACTTAGTCCTACAATTATTAATCAATCATTCATCTTAGTATCTAATTAATTAAGTGGTTTGCAATGCCATCTAGCTGTCACTCACTCAAAACATTACTATTGCTTTTTGCATTACATCAATCCCATTTTTTCGCCAATTTTAAGCTATCTTCTACCCAAAATGAACATAAAATCCACAAATTATGCATAAAACTCAGAGCAAAATACAACACTAAAGAACAAAATCTAACAAGAAACAGAACATTGAAAAAACACAAATTCACATAAATTATAAAAACCCATGAATTATTTCTCAAATTAAACAACAAAAATCTGAAATTTACAACAACAAAAACCCAAAAAGGAAAATAAAGCAAGAAATAGAAAGAAAGAACATACTGAATTCGAACTTTAGGGGAAGAATCTGAGAGATAGCGAGTAAGATTATCATGAACCCAGCTCTGAGCAACCTTCAAAGAAGAATTTAACCTGGGTAACAATGAATTTGGAATACCCAAAATGACCTCAATTTTGGAGCCTTGAAGAGCTTGAAGAACAAAAGGGTCAGCTTCATACAGCCTAACTTTTGTGACATTGTTAAATTTAAGAAGTTGCACAACTTTCAAAGGTGGAAGTGGGTGTGATGAGTTTCTTCCCCAATTCACTCCAATGGCTTCTACTCCAACGGCGAGTGTTGCTATTAGTAGCAATTTTGCCACAAAACCCAGGTAGTTCTGGTTGTAATGAAGTAGAGCCATAGAGAGAAACAGTGGATTTTTTTACTTAATCATTAATGTATTAATTCGTTTTGGAATTTTGGCTGATGTTTTTTATTAAAAGGGGTGTGAGTTTTTTTTGTGTGAATTTTTAATGCTAATAAAGGTGTGGGCGTGACCGTGTGACTTTGGTCCGATTGTTTTTGAATTTTGTCACACTTTGTCATATACTTTGCCCTGATAGGCGCTCAAGCATTTTAGCACTAGCCGGTTTAGTAAAAGTGGTCTCAATAACACCAATTATGACTTAGGTGTAAGGGTGTTATCCATACTTTTTTTTTTTTTTTTGGTAAAGTCGAGGGGCAAGTGGTGTCATCCATGCAATGAACTACTACAACGTCTATAAGTTTAGGTACATGAAATAAAAATAAATGACATTAGAGTTGAAAAACAATACATGACCGTATCCTCTAATCTATATTATTTCTCACACCGAAGCCCATATAATTCATGAATAGGACATAGATTATCATATGTGATACTTTGTATAAAAAACTACATTTCATCGGCAATTTATTACAACAAATCTATAATTTGGGTTGTGGGCTATACCCAAGGTCATAGCCTATTGCACCCGCTTAAGATTGTGTTCTTGGTGCACCCAAATTATAGATGATGTAGCTGAAACGAATTTTAACTTAAATAATTTACTGAATTCTTAATCAGATTGGATTCAAATAAACGAATTTTAATTCAGATTAAACTCAACTTTACAAAATGGTTTTAATTTGGATTGCATTGAATTTAGTCTATTCCCTCTTTTTTATTAGTTGTCATCACTTTTCTTTTACTATTTTATTTTTGTATTTTTGAGTTTTGACATCATTTTTCAACACTTTCTCTTTCCATCTCTTACCAACTGCTACCTTTTATTTCTCTCTATATCTCTCTTGCCTCATAATCATATTTGTATTTCACAATCCTTGGATTTTAAGGAATTTATAAGTTCATTAATTCCCGTGAAAAAAATGAAGTAGCATAAGGGACGAAGGAAGTTTCTTTTTAAGAAAATAAACTCTACATGAGAATATCTTGAATCTCATATAAGCATATTAGATTAATCTTTTATATAATTGCATAGTGATTCAACCACAACCCTTCAAAAAGCCAATTCTCAAATCTCATGCATTTGAGTTTCTTTTTTTTTTTTTTTCTTTTTTTTTTCCCCCTCGGCTATAACCTCCAATTAAATAACTACCACTTTTTCTTTTTCTTTTTTTTCCTAATAACTTCCACATCTTATATACCGTGCGTTAGCACGGATACAATCTAGTTTATGAAATTACGAAGTATTTTGATTTAGAAAGTTATCTAATTGTAATATAATATGATGGGGTAAGTCGAACTCAAAAGCAACTTACCAATCCAAAACCTCCAGTATGAAGTTCAGCCCACTCCAAGCTTTGGCTGTCATTTTCTTGCCCTTCTAATTCACTACAGTATTGTAGTACAAGCAAAGAGTGATACTCAGGTCTTTCACGAACCCTTATGTATACAAATTTTGTTATCAAATAACAGTTTCTTTTTACAATTTATTTATCAAATGAAATTTATTGGTTAATACAAAGTATTTATTCATGAAAATGCTACTATCTCTGTCCCAACAAAATACTTGACATAATTTTTTCTTATCGTCCGTCCCAGAACACTTTACAAGTTACTCCCTCCTTTTTTTTCAAGTGCCTCATTGGGGATTTTGGCATTATTCACTAAACACGCTTCGACCAATGTTTGCAAATTGTACAAAATGAGTACTTGTTAGTATCGTCTCAATGAGTATATAGTTAGGTTTGTTTTCTTCAACTTAATTTCAGTTCAGTTCAGATCCAATCATTAATTTCCTTCTCTCATAAACAATTTATTTCAGTTCAATTCAGCTCTAATCAGTTTAGTTCAGTTCCTAATTTCCTTCTCTCATAAACAATTCAGTTTAGTTTAGTTTAGCTCCAATCAGTCCAGTTCAACTCAATTCAATAAATTAGAACAAACCCTTAATATTAAATTATAATAATGTTTAGTTAATGATAATTAAACATATTACTATTAGTTAAAGTTTTGTATCGACATGCGTGTCAGGACTCAAGAGTACTAAATATAGAATGAGATCACTAATAAAAAATATTTTCCCATATTTTCTCTCTCCTTACCGACTTTAGTCACATCCATCTTGTTTTCTTGCAATATACGAAGTTAAAATATAAAAGAAAATCTTTTATACTACTCCGTCCGTCCCCTTTTGATAGTCCTTTATGGACAAATTTTAGTCCCAAGCTAAGATGTTCTCACCTCATTTGCTTTTTCCAACAACCGTTAATATTAAATTTTTACCAAAATTCCCTCCAATTTACAACAATATTTGTGCAAATTTAACTTTCCTATGTAAATTTGTTTTCCCATGTAATTTTATTACTTTCCTTCTCTACTTTTTTGCATACCTAATGTCAATTTGCTTTTTCAATATACTTTATCTATTCTTATTTATGTTTATTAATTCCAGTGAAATATAAGGACTACCAAAAGGGGAAAGATGGAGCATGTACAATAATTTTCTTAAAATACTTGTCCACCATTAAAAAAAAAAAAAAAAAGAAAAAGCTACTTTGGCTGTAAAGTGTTAAGTACTCTATCACTGTAAATCTGTAATTAGCGGTTTTTAACTTTGAAGTTCAAAACTCCCCCAATCCAACCCAACCCGCCCAAGCTCAGTTCACCACACTCCATCTTCATACTATCGTTTCTGTAAAATTCAGACATCCATCACCGGCGAAATTCCGTCACAAGCACCGGATAACTGGCTAATCCTCCAGACACCTCCACACTCCCTTTGTTGGTGTTGGTTTCGGCATTGCACAGGTTAGGGTTTTATCTTCATACCAATATTTGACGGAATTTGGTTGTTATTCACCGGATCCAAGTTTTAAGCTCACAATTACTCCTGCAAATTGAAATTGATTTTATATCACAATTCTTATTTGAATTTGTTTTTGCTAGTTAGCTTGAATTGGGAATTTGAAATTTGGAATGTGGATTTGTGTAGAATGATGTATTATTGATGATGTAAGATACAAATTAGTAGGAATTGTTTAAAATTATAATGTGGTAAACACTAATTTAGGTAAAAATGTAGAATGTATTATACAATGGGGGTTAGATTTTAGGTCAACGTGTATTGAGATTTAGGTATAAATGTAAAGTTGTTTTTGTAAATTTTGCTGCAATACTGTGTTTGTTATAAGATAGTTAGATCGTTATTTCATAATTATCTGGGTTATAATTTGCCTTGCTGTAAAAATGCGGTTAATTTACTATAATGTGCAGCTTGCAACCTGGTTGTGTATTCGAAGTTTTGCTGGTTCGAACACAGTGATATCTGAACATTGTAATTGTGATTGAATTTCAGGAAAATGGAGTTTACTGATTCGTATAAGCAGACAGGTCCGTGCTGTTTTTCTCCCAATGCTCGCTACATTGCTGCTGCAGTTGATTATCGTCTGGTGATCCGTGACACTCAGTCTTTTAAGGTGCTATTACTGTCAAATTGCTATTTTTTCCTTTCTACAATTCTGCATACTAATGTTTAGACTTATGTATAGTAGCTCCTTGTCTCCTCAAACTGTTTGCGCATGTATTGAATTCTGATCACAATGCACTTTATCATCAAAAGTTACTAACTTAGAAGGGTACTTAGAACATGGAAAGAGTTTATACTACTCTGTGCTATCCTTAGGTTAATATATAGTCCATCCCAATTCCATTTTGAGACTGCTTACATGCGCACAACACACGTATGGGCCTCAAGCTCAATACTGTATGAACAATGCAACGTTTGGTGTCACCTCGATGGATTGATCTGTAGTTCTGTACCATGGAGTAAAACTATTGCAAAATTTTGAGACTGTAAGCAATGGTTTTCTGGAAAGGTTTAATACAAGTAACATCCTTAAGTTCTCTAATCTTGTTTGAACAGAACCTAGATGTTACCTAACTATATGGCATGATATTAGTATTAGGTAATTGGCGAATGACCTGTAGAATCTAAGCTATGCATTTTCTGTTTGACCTTTAACATTTTCCCTGAAAGCACACTTTATTATATTGCCATCACTCTATAGATTTCTAACTTCTTTCTGGGGGTATTTCTTCTCTCCAATTCATAAAGCAAGGCACCCAAAGTCCTATATTCGCTGAAGTCAAACCTAGGCCTCTACTTTCTGTTAAATATTTTGATAGTAGTAAAACTGTAAAAACACACATAGAAATTTATTTTTAATTTTATAGAGAATTACCTCGTCCAAGTTCAACTTTGAGAAGTATGTGTACCTTATATCATGAAAGGGAGGGAGTATTTTTTGAATCATTTATAGCAGTTAGCCGCTTTACAATTCTTTATTATAAGATCTCTTTCTGTGTAAAATTTGGTCATCTACTCTTGTAGGTAGGTGTAAATCCTAAGCTGAGGTTTCTGCTATTTTTCTAATTTGTTACTCATATTTTTGCTCTCTACTAAATATGGAATGTGTATCACTCTTTCTGTACAGGTGGTGCAATTGTTTTCATGCTTAGATAAGATAAGCTACATTCAGTGGGCTCTTGATTCTGAATACATATTATGTGGTCTCTACAAGAGACCAACAATACAAGTATGGTCAATAACTCAACCTGAATGGACATGTAAAATAGATGAAGGTTTAGCTGGTATTGCCTATGCTAGGTGGAGTCCTGACAGTCGTCACATACTCACTACTTCAGACTTCCAGTTGAGGTTGACAGTTTGGTCACTGTTGAATACTGCTTGTGTACATGTAAGATGGCCAAAGCATCCTGTCAAGGGGGTTTCATTTACCCGAGATGGCAAGTTTGCTGCAGTATGCACAAGACGTGATTGCAAGGATTACGTTAATCTGTTGTCTTGTGATTCATGGGAGATAATGGGTGTTTTTGCTGTTGACACATTGGATTTGGCTGATGTTGAGTGGTCACCGGATGATAGTTCTATTGTTGTCTGGGATTCACTTCTTGAATACAAGGTACGTGGATACAGTTATTCCATTACTGATGATTATAAGCCATGTCAAATTACCTTTTATTTTATTTTATTTTATTTTAGTATCGAGTTCATATTAATGGAAATCACTTTGTACAGGTCCTGATATACACGCCTGATGGACGATGTTTATTGAAGTACCAGGCATATGAAAGTGGTTTGGGTGTCAAGAGTGTTTCATGGTCTCCTTGTGGTCAATTTCTTGCTATTGGAAGCTATGATCAGATGCTGCGTGTTGTCAATCGTCTTACATGGAAAACTTTTGCTGAGTTTATGCATTTGCCTAATGTTCGTGGTTCCTCTTGTGCAGTCGTCTTTAAGGTTACTTTTATAACCTTCTCTTTTCAATTCCTATTTCCTAACTCTAGGTGTTTGGATGATTATTCCATTGGATACTGTTTTTATCTGTGTCCCTGTAAATGTCATTTTCAGGAGGAAGATGAGCAGCCTCAGCTTGATATTGCTGGGTTGTGTTTGAGCAGTGATCCTTATGACAGCAATTTTGGTAAGTTAGCTTTCTCATTTCGAGCTATGTTCTTAAGACATCTTACATTTCTGCTTAGAGAACATTCAAAAGGACTTCAGAAGAGCCTATTGAGTATAGATGTGTCAACGTGATATAAGCATATAGCCTATAAGCGATGGATTACTTTTTAACTGTCTGTTGTGGTGTAGTAGCCTATTGTCCCAAAATGATTTCGAATATGTGACACTCAATATCTAAAAGTGTCAGCAGATAACACCTGGAATACAATACTCAGATTACCCACTTTCTTCTCTTCCATACTCCTTTCCTTTTGCTTGTCTTTCTCGTCTTTTTGGGCTTTAGAACTTTTGAGCAAGTCTGTTGTTTTCAGTCCAATCTATGTTTCTCATTTCTTCTTTGGGACCTGAAGTGTAGTTCTGACATACGCTATTTTTGAAATTAATTCTCCCGCTTTTGTTCTTGGAGAGGTTTCAGAGTTCAAATTAAATCTTAAAGTTGAATGTTAAGTGTTAGCTTTTACCTCGGTTTTATTTTAAGTTATTTTTGTATTAGGGTTTACGTCTTATAGGCACTTTATTGGTAGATCTCTGCTTGCATATGAGATGTGACCCACCCTGCAAATTGTTAATCATGATATTGAGATTTTCTATGCAATGCCATGAAAACTTCCTTATCTTGGAAAAAGCATATTAAAAGTTTAGGTTGGAGCTTATTTGGTTCTTAGCTTTAGCATGGATTTGTCATTTCTTCTAGTAACTAGCCTTTTATTTTGATGCAGATGTTTCAGAAAGACAAATAGGAGTTAGGTACGAAGTAGCAGATCTACCAATTACTTTGCCATTTCAGAAGCCTGCCATGGACAAACCAAACCCAAAACAAGGCATTGGTAAGATCATTTTTTCTGTTTTATTCTATATAACCGAACTGAATATTTAATTTATGTGCAATTTATACGAGAGAAGTAACAGAAGAATTTTATGAGGCATGCTTAGGGTTTTCTGATGGCTGACATGCCTTCATGTATACATTTTGATTTTATGAGGCATATTTGGGTTCATAGTTTAACCTGATTCACTCGTTCACCATTCTATAACGATCAAGTATATTGAAGTACATACAATATTATGTATACTAAATATAGTTCTAAGTCTACCAACCCATCATCCAATTAATCAGCATACTCAGCAACACTAAAAAATTATTGTTTCCTAGCTTGTCTTTATTTCCACTTCATTAATGCCTACAGAGTACTTGTTGATTTAGGTCTATAAAGTTCAACTGTTCATCATTACCAATTGTTGACTGTATATTGATTTCATACATTGTATGTAAAAAGTTGAACAATCGTTTGTTTTTTGTGAACATTTTTTGGTCTTCTGTACATGGCATAAATAGATTTACATTTACAGGGATCCAAAATAGATTCCTTGTTTGAGGATTACACATAAAAATTGTGCCAAGAAATTCATTGGAGTATAGTAATGTGAATAATGAGTAATGACCATTAATTTTCTCAGCACTCAAAGCTTCAAATGAGGAAAAAAATCTTGACCACGATTGACTGAAGTTCAGTGTGGTAAATATTTCTCATTATCAATCTTGTTGCAGGCCTTATGGCTTGGAGCAGCGATAGCCAGTATATTTATACACGTGATGACACCATTCCAACTACTCTCTGGATATGGGATATGCAGCAACTTCAACTGGCTGCCATATTGCTGCAGAAGGAGCCCATTAAAGCTGCAGTTTGGAACCCAACATCTTGCCGCCTTGCATTTTGTACAGGAAGTTCGCATCTGTACATCTGGACCCCTTCTGGTGCATATTGTGTAAGCAATCCTCTGCCACATTTCACTGTAGTTGATTTAAAGTGGAATTCAGATGGAAGTTATTTACTTCTCAAAGACAAGGAGTCGTTCTGCTGTGCTGCTCTTCCCATCTTGCCCGAATCTAGTGATTATAGCTCAGATGACTGATTCCTTAACCTGCAGGTAAATTTTAAATGTGTAGCAAGTTTGTATGCTTAGGATATTGGAATGTCTTTGTCAGTACTCACCTCGTAAATCTAAGTGGAAATGTGTAAAAGGTCTCAAGATCATCTCAACTCTAAGTTTAATGTGAAGTTCACATGAAAGTATATCATATGCACATCTTACAACCTATTTCTGTGCTAAACTAGTTGATTTATTGTGCTTGGATGGGATCTGGAGGAGCTTAGATGCTCAAGTAGGTGCAATTAACCTTTTTCTGTGATGAGACTATGCTTTCATACTAAGCTTTAAAAAAATCTGAGTAGCTGCAATCAATTTTCAAAACATAATCATACATATGCAACCTCGTACTCAACCCTTATTTCTCAAAATATGATATTCTGTAGTATCTGTAGTACATCAGCATCTTGTTTTGAACAAATTGACTTATTAACCAGCTAGCTATTTTCATACGGAGTATTTAGAAGTACAAAGCTTTTCTTATAAAATTCAATTTATTGAAAATTTGATTTATTATTGACATTCTTAGGAAAATGCTTTTAACGTTGTACTTTTACTTGGGAGGCTATTGATGAAAGCCTCAAGATCAGATGTAGCAGAACCTCCATTTACTATTGCATTTCTGAAGGTATTTTGTAGCTCTTTTGCTCTGTTAACCATCACTTTTCACTCGTCATTTTCCGGGTCCATAAATTCTCTTACAAGTTTTGCTATCTCGTGTCGAGTGACTAACCCTCCCTTCTGAAGATGATTGTTCTTTATCACACTCCATCCAATCTCCATATCATTTACTATCATCTTGCTATTAAGGAGCTGATCCCATGCTATAGGACAAGTAAGCATCGGAACACCAGCATAGATTCCTTCCGAAGTAGAGTTCCACCCACAATGCGTTCAAAATCCACCAATAGAAGGATGACACAACACCCTTAATTGATCACACCATGGTACTAAGAATCCCATTTGATCACTAATGTCATCTTTCCAGCTTGAGGTATCATTATCATCTCGTATTACCCACAGGAATCGAACACCACTTTCTTTAATCCCAGCAATTATCTCTTGGCTTTGACCACTTGAAATCGATAGAAAACTTCCTCGAGATATATACAATACTGAGCCTCTTGGTTGAGAATCCAGCCACCGGAAGTAGTCAAGCCTTTTATCTTCATAAGAGTTGGTTTCATCTGTTTTATTATCCAGGCTCGAGTATGGGATCATTGGACCAATGTGGTAGAGTGATATTGATGGATATCTTACTTTCAGGCTATTTATCGCGTGTTCTTCAAACTCCTAGATGGATGTAGACAAAAGGTATTGAGCATTGTTCATCAGATAATCTTTTTCCAACATTTGTTGTATCACCTTCCTTCCAGCATCTCCTTGAAAGGATGCTGGTAAGTCCGCAAGAGTTACTGAGGGAAGTCCCGGAATATAATCCACTACCTCATTTCCTCTCTCTAGCATGCAAATTGACTTGTTAGAACTCTAATTCTACAAAATCTTTTGTGTACATTTTGCTTGAAGTAATGTTAGTGTACATTGAATAATATTGGTATTATTAAGGCTTTTTTTTTAGAGAGGTATTATTAAGGCTTAGTTTAGCTCAAATCATTTAACCAATATATGTTTATTTCAAAAATGAAATTATAAGATTAGACCAAATTAAATCTGATGGCACATTATTACGAACCCAATTACATTTCATTTGATAATGGTTTATCTTAAGTATTAATGTGTTAAAGTCATGTTTGTAAATTAAATCAGACCAATGACATTTCATTTGATAATGGTTTATCTTAAGTATTAATGTGTTAAAGTCATGTTTGTAAATTAAATCTGACCAATTCAGATTAGATAAGAAAGTTCTTATGAAGTTGGGCGATTTAAACATAGTCAAGTTTTCTAAATAGAGTAAATACCTGAGATATAAGCATCAGGGATATGACCATATTGGACCAACAAGTCCAAGTGAGAGAGAACAGTAAAAAATGAAGCTGATACAGTAACTAATGACGCTACTGGTACATCCCTTTGGTTCCCAACTCTGATGACCCAACTCATGATCACGTCGTAGATTATGGCAGTTGGAGTCAGCTCAAGCCGATCAAGTAGCTACTCGAAGGGGTCCTGAAGCTTGGTGAGTACAGCTTCTATGAACCCCAATACATCAGCACCTCGGCCAGCTTCTGAGGGAATTACCTGTGGAAGTGCAGCAAATCGGAAGTTAGCAAGTGGCTGCTGCTGGAACTCGGAGCTGAGGAAGCCAAGCCACTCTTCAGTGACAACAAAAGTGATGAAAACATCATTGGATTTTGACAAGATGAGTTTGCAGAGGTTTAACATGGGGTTTATGTGCCCTCTCCCAGGGTATGGCATCGCCACCACGTGACACCGTTTGTTTTCTACTGTTTCCTCCATTAGTAATGAAAGTAGGGTGACGCCGATGGCCGGAGAAAGTAAGAGTGTTTGGTTGGCTACTTGGGATGGAAGGGTGTATATGGAGTTTAGATCATTTCATTCTAGCGTAGTCTAATTGAGATTTAATTAGGTAGGAAATAATCTCTATTCTTATACTAATAGTTAATATGAATATTTGTCCTACAAGGTCAAAATATCACACAGGATAATTCTATTTGAATCAATGGACTAGACCGGTTTAATAATAATAATAAATAATAGTGTGTTAGTCTATATAGGCTGCATTCTTTCAAAAAAAAGTCTATATAGGCTGCATTAGTAATGGAATAATTAAGTTCAACTTTTCATCATGATCATTTATTTATTTTGTCGACTTCAATAATTGATATGGAATAACTTTAATGTCTTGTGAACTGATTACTGATTGGATTACCAATAATATCATCTTATTACGAGTAATTGTAAAATTAAGCTGTTTCATACTTGCGAAGTTACGAAGTACGAGTATCGTTTAGGTGTCAATTTTCTATTTTGGGCCTTGTTTGAATAAGTCCATCAAGTCTCATATGTATCAATTAGTATTATGTGCACCATGGTGCACTACGTATATATTTATGGACATTTAATTAAAAAAATTAAACATTTTACCAAAAAATGAACATTTAGTAAAAAAATATAAACATGTCACAAAAATTGAACATAAACATGCAATTTTTATGTTCATTTTTTATAAAAAAATGTTCATTTTGTATACAACAAATGTTCAGTTTATGTTACAAAACTATTGAATTATTATGAGTCAGATAAACTTCTTTTAAAATTTGTCTGACTTTGTCTGACTCTCAATTATTCAAAATTTGTGATTGTTAAGATTTTTTTACTAAATGTTCAAAATTTGTTATTGTTCATATTTTTTACTAAATGTTAAAAAGTATAGGCTTGGTGCATTGCGATTGTTCAGATTTTTTTTTTTTACAAAATAGTTCAGATTTTTTACTAAATGTTCAAAATTCGCGATTGTTCGGATTTTTTTTTTACTACATGTTCAAAAGTATAGGTGTGATGCATTGTGATTGTTCAGATTTTTTAACTAAATGTTCAAAATTTGCGATGTTCAGATATTTTTACTACATGTTCAAAATTTGCAATTGTTCAGATTTTTTTACTAAATGTTCAAAAGTATCGGCTTGGTGCACCTATTATTACTAGATGCACCATGGTGCATCTTAAAATTTGCGCATATATAACGTGAAACAGAATTGAGTCAAATGACCAAATAAAATGAGGACCGAGGACCAAGGCCCAAGAGTTATTAACTGAATTTTTTTGGTAGCTGAGCAAGTATGCCTAGGGAGTTAGGGTGTGAATTTCTTAACGTAGGAGAGGGGGATCTAGCATAGACTAATAGAGGTACAATTGTACTCCCACTTTAGGTCTCTACTATCTACCCAAAAGAAAAATAAAATTGATAATAAAGTCTATAAGCTATAACCGGTTGTAGCATATTACCGGTCTCTAAAAACTATTACTTTCTTGATCAAAGAGACTATTCCCTTAATCCCTTATACAGTTATTTTGTTCATTTTTTTACCCATAAATTTGGTTACTCATTTATACACATTGTCCATGGATGGGTGCAACTTTCTTGATCAAAGAGACCATTCCCTTAATCCCTTATATAGTTATTTTGTTCATTTTTTTACCCATAAATTTGGTTACTCATTTATACACATTGTCCATGGATGGGTGCAACTTTCTTGATCAAAGAGACCATTCCCTTAATCCCTTATGTAGTTATTTTGTTCATTTTTTTACCCATAAATTTGGTTACTCATTTATACACATTGTCCATTTGTCCATGGATGGGTGCATCATACATTTAAAGACTAGTACCATAATAAATTGAATTAATAACTCAAATTTTGGTTTGCAAAAAATGATAATGCTTCACATATTATTTTGTTTTTTTAGTAAAGCTTACTTTCATACTCCCATATCTAAATTCTCAAATCCACCACCACTGCGATAAAGTATCATCTAGTCAAAAATAAAAGCCATATTACTCTAGATAGGGCTGTTCAATTTCGGATATCCGATCTGATCCGATTCGAAAATCTGAATTTCTTTCGGATATCCGATCTGAAATATCCGAAACCTTAAAAAACCGGATCGGATATCCGAAATTTCGGATCGGATCATCGAATATTCGGATCGGATATTCCGGACCGGATATTTTTGAACACCCCTAACTCTAGACATACTCTTATTTCAATATAGGCCCAATCACTTCATCTTAAAAAAAGTTACTATAATGTTAAGTAAAAAATCTAAAAATAATTTCAATTCAGGTTAAATTAATTTATATTGAGCGAAAATTAAATTCAAATTAAACAAAAATAATTTCGTGTTCAGTAACTCGTGTGAGGTCGGTCCGAATATCCAACTACCCAAGCCCGTCTGAAACCTGAAAGGTAGTCGGCTAATCTCGCGCTTTCTCTTTCTCTCTTTTTTCGGAAGAAATACATTTTGCTGAATTGCGCTCGTTCTCAGCGCAAGCAGCACCATCTTCATCATTCTTCCATTACCGAGTAACAATTGATTAAAAGAAGGTAATTACATTAGCCCTCTTCTGGAATTCCATGATTCTTGAGTTGACTCGGAACTGAGTTGAGTGAAATCGAAGCATCAATGAGTAGCAACTCGGAAGTTGAATCTACAAACGCTCCAAGTGGAGCACCACCAATACAAAAACCCCAAATACAAACCATTCACCTTCCTACCGCTGAAGAAGTTCATGGCCAAGACATCTGGAATAACTGCGCTGTTCGCAGTGTCGTCAGTGGTGTAATGGGTACAATTCTTAAATTTCATATCTTTAATTTTTGTTTATAATATTTGGATTTTATGGCATTTTGGGATTGTTTTTTTTTTTGCTTTTAGTATTTGATCAGTTATTTATTGGGAAGTTAAGTTCTTTGGGTTTTTAATGGTAATGCACACCAGGTGTATGATGAAATTCTTGAACCAAATTTGTCAATCTCATGTTTCATTTTTGACACTGTTTGTTCCAATGGCTAATTTTGTATTGAGATTATAATGATATGAGTTACAGAGTATGTGATATAGTAAAAATGATTCAATGGGCGTGATTTTGTTACTATGGAATAATGTGGTAGATGGGTGGAAACAAATGTGTACTTTCTACATATAAAAATAGTTGGGATTATGCTAGGACATTAGTTTGTGAAAGAACACTGATTTTGTTATCATTTCCATCTTATATAAAAGTATATTGTCTCAATAGTCAATAGTTTATGTAGCCACTTCACACTTAAGTTTTCTTGAATCTTATGGTGTTGTTGCTCCTTTTGGAAATTTTGTAGGAGGTGGGCTTGGGGTGATGATGGGGATATTTTTTGCGGCATTGGATAATCCCATCATGCAAGATACAATGACAGCTAGGCAGCAAATTGCTTATACAGCAAAACAGATGGGTCAAAGGAGTTGGGGTAATTGCAAGACATTTGCATTGATGGGCTGTGTTTTCTCAGCTGCGGAATGTGTTGTTGAAAAGGTACTTTCTTATCCGAGAATAAATCATGAGTGACTTTTACATGCAAATGTATTAGAGACTAATTATTGCTTTGATTGAAGTATCGAGCGAAACATGACACTACAAATACAGTGATCGCTGGATGTGTGACTGGAGGTGCAATTTCAGCAAAAGGTTTGATATCAGCATTTATATCCTTTACACTCACTTGTTTAATAAATGTTGTTGAATCTTATTGATATAGTTATATATTTCAGTGATAGAGTTGTCTTTGAATGTCTATTATGTGTATGCATGATGGTTTGATTCATGTAGTGACATGTTAAATCAAATTTATTATTAGATTTATCTGAGCTTAGGTTCTGACCTTGATTGTTATTTTTATGTGGGGCTCTTGCAGCACAACAACTTCTTTGTTACTCGTAGCATCCTTTTTTATTTGACCAAAAAGACAAGTGTTTGGACTTGGTCCACCAATAAACATTCATACTTCCTTCGTTTCTTTATAGTTGCAACACACGTTATATTACGATATTTAAGATCAGTGGACCTCACATGATATAATACACTTAAAATGGGGTTAAGATGTTGTTAGGAGTATAATCAAGTTGGCCATGAACTTTAAATAAAGGTAACAGTATAATTTCACCATTAAAACCTTCCTTTTATAGTGTACATGTTAGAATTTGTGAGTGCACATAGCGGAAGCAGATGTAGCGATTGATAAAATAATTCGGAGAAAGATAAAAGCAAGATAAACATGGGAAAAATGCTCAATATAGGCAAAAAAACTCCACGACGACGAGCACCCAAAATAATCCACTATATGAAAATAGGAGAGTACAAGAACCGATGAGTAGTATAAGAGAACTCTCACTATAAGAACTCATAAAGGAGTAGTGCAAAGATAAGAATAGTGGATTCGTAGAGAGGTGTATGGTACAAGGAGGTGTAGTATGTAGGAAGACTAGTGTGTATGGTATATCTTTTAATGTGTAGGTCTTGAATGCCCATGACTCATATTCATATTTGTAGATGGAACTTAGAAGAAATGGCGGATGGCCGAAAGATTCTAGAATTTTTTTCATTATTATTCTTGTATCCATGATATTGTAGAAAATTCACGAACCATGTATTATATTTTAATTGCTTCCCATGTCAATATTTCTCTAGAACGTTCAAGTAGGTTATTATTCTAGAGAAATCATGAGCAAGTAATGATCTTGCTTGATCATTTCAGAAGCTTCTAGAATATACACAATATTCTATCAAAATAATGCGCCTATATAATTTAGGCTATACCCAACATGTTGCAACTATTGGTGACATTACCATTTTAGGGAAGTGTTACATCTATAAAGAAACGGAAGAAGTATTTTATAATGTGTATTTCATTGTTTCATGATTTGGAAGGAGTACATACTTCATAAAACTATCAAACAAGTTCCCCTATGAGGCTCATGCGTCATGCCATTAAAAAACAGTACAAAAACTTGTTCGAAGGTTCTAGATGATTTCTTAGGTGCCTGATTACCCATAACATAAAATTGATAAATATTTTTACCTGATGCTATGGAAAGTCCCCACCCTAGTATATGCTGGGTCCAACTTTTTAACCCCACCTGCAGCGGGAACCTGAGGCTGGATGCTGCCATTAAGAGACATGGTTTCAGTGCTCAAGTGGCATTTAAATGAGTCCCTTTCTTCTCAGCCCCCTCCCGCGGTCCCTTATGTAGATGCCATTATATTTTTTACTTTGATTTCACTGAGTTTAGTTGTATATTTGTTGGGTTCAGTGTGTTCTTAGTTTTTCTAAGATAGGTGATACTTTCCATATTTTCTATTATAATAATCATTCATTCATTCTTCCTCAATCTTATACTACTAGTTGTATATTTGTTGGGTTCAGTGTGTTCTTAGTTTTTCTAAGATAGGTGATACATATTTTCTATTATAGTATCAATGCACCTCCATCTTACACTCACTACTTTTATAGTTTTATGTAACAAGCCCCTTTATTAGACTTGATTCTCTTGAATATTGGGTAACATGGTATACACTTGATTTCCTATACTTGCTATAAGGAATCCTACTTAGATTCTTGTTGTTGCTGGTCCTCTCGGTTCTCTGTTGTGTGGCTGGGATTTATATAAGAAGGGGGAGGGGGGAAGAGTCCAATGAAGAGTTGATTGTAGGAGGAAAGAAATGATCCAGCAAAGAGGTTATGCGATTTATGATTGAACTTGTAATTTTCTCAGTTCACATACTAATGATGTCTTCCGTTGTAATTATTACTGCTCTTAGAATTTTTTGTTTTCACTGGAGTATGCTCAATCTATCGAATACCAGATGATGTAGTTGTGTCTTGGTAGAAATCGTTATATGCATCCGGGTGTAAGGTGCAACCAAGGGTATTATTTGCTCATTTCGATGATAATTACTCATTTATCATCAAATGAACAAATAAGTATCCAAATATCCTTGGGTGTACTGTATTCCTGGGTGTATATAACAATCTCTCGTGTCTTGGTATGATTTTAATTTTTGTTTTGTAACTTACCCTTGCCATGTATATTTTAGGTGGTCCTCAAGCTGCTTGCATTGGTTGTGCTGGCTTTGCTGCATTTTCAGTTGCCATAGAGAAGGTGATGGAGAGATATGAATGATTAAACAGCATGTTGCTGAGCAATATGCATCAGATTGCTCTGTACTAAAGGGCTAATGCCCGGTTAGGTAGTTGCCGATTTCTATAGTTTGCTATGCATCTTAGCCTGAATATTCTCTTGAAATCATTAACATATATTACTTCATAATTCCTATAATTTCTCAGCATATTTTTAATGTTATACTAAATTAAATTAGTGGCATACCAATTTTATTTTGTAGATGAAGGTATTGCCCTAAGTATTTGCTTGTGACATTGTATTAGTACAACTGAAATAAAGTTTCTTGAATGCTCACCATATTAAATCATATTCTTCAAGCATTCAAATGCGGTAACTTACAGACATTGCAAATTGAAGCACAAAACAAATCAAGCAAAAGGACAAGTGATGTTGGTGCAAGTTTAGGTAATGGAAATGTAACAACTACCTTGAAGAATCATGGGAGTTACCCGTTACCGTGATCTATTTGCATCTGGTAAAAGCACAAGTGATCTATGTACTCAGTACTCCAATTATTCGTCATTATTCCAACTCTTTATACCCGTGTTGTATACTTGTATGTCGTACATCTTTTTCCATGCAATCTACCCAATTGTAACGACTACCACATTCCCACATGTCACATTTGCTGCTATTCGCCTGCTTGCGGCAAAAAATTAAGTATCTAGTAGAATTTGAGTGATGTGCATAGCTAACGACACTTTACATACAATTGACAATTTGACATGAACACTTACTCAGTTACTCCGTGCACTAGTTATTTACCTAACTACCCTTACTCATATTTCTTTTTCTTCATTATTTCATGAAGGGTAAAAATGTATTTTGCCTCGTTAATTTTATCCCAATTATACCACCTCCTAGTCACCTTCTAAGTGAACTAACAAACAAGTTCGAAACAACCACACTCTTAATACTCATCCCAGCGATAATGTCCGACGATAAATTGGTATGCGTCACCGGCGGTAGCGGCTACATTGGGTCACAGCTAGTCTCTCTCCTCCTCTCTCGCAATTACACTGTTCACGCCACTGTCAAAGACCTCAGTTCCGTTTTCTCTCTCTTCTTCATCACTCAATTTCATCAACTCTTGAATTTCGTCAATTAACACTAGATTTTTGTTTGATTTTCAGATGATGAGAAGGAAACGAAGCATCTAGAAGCTCTAGAAGGCGCTGAATCTCGTCTCCGATTGTTCCAAATCGATCTTCTCGATTACGATTCCATTGTCGCCGCCGTCTCTGGTGTCTCCGGCGTTTTTCACCTTGCTTCCCCGTGTATTGTCGATCAAGTTCATGATCCTGAGGTTTTGATTTTGATTTTCCTTTTTTTTTTGTTTCATTTTATTGATATTTGATTAACTACTTATGAAATTTTATATTTTTGAGTGATAAACAGACGCAATTGCTTAATCCAGCAATTAAAGGGACGAATAATGTACTGAAAGCTGCGAAAGCGGCAGGTGTAAAGCGTGTGGTTTTGACTTCTTCTATTTCTGCAATTACGCCGAGTCCGAATTGGCCTGCTGATGTTGTTAAGGGAGAAGATTGTTGGTCTGATGTTGAGTTTTGTAAGCAGAATGAGGTAATTTATTTAATTTTAATAATAGTTGTTAAATTTGTTCAATTCAAATGATTTGTTACTTTTATGGTGTGTTAATGCTACTAGTTAAGTTAGTTGTTCAATTATATTATAGTTGCGGATTTGGACTTTATGATGACCGTGTTTCCGGTCATGTAAGCTCAATGGTTGCTTTGAAATTTATGGTCAGAGTTGTTAAGATAGTTCTAGGGTTTACAATGATGTTATTTCAGTTTGATTATGCATATATGCGTTTACATGGTATAAAGTATAAATTATTGTTAGACTATAGGTCATTTTGTTGTGTTAATGCAATATTGTTTGTGAATTTAAAATCAAACAAAATTGATACAATGTAAATGAAATTTTGGTATCTGTGAAAGTGGTTATTGATTAAATGGATCTGTTGGAGTTTTAGATTTTAATAATGCTGTAAAAAACATTGAGCAATGCTTAAATGAAAATTGCGTGTCTGGTTTAAAGATTTGAGTATCTAGGTTGTTAAGGTGATTCTTCTACTCAAGAGTCAAGTCTACTGGTTATTCTATTTTGTTATAACATCTCTTAGTTTCGGATATATGTTTACTTTCGACTGCAACAGAACATGTCCCTATTGGTTCTTGGCGGTGTTGTGTATTTGTGCTAACAAAAATTGATTTCTTGTTCTAGTTGTGGTATCCACTTTCCAAGACATTGGCTGAAAAAGCAGCTTGGGAGTTTGCTAAGGAGAATGGCTTGGACATGGTGGTGGTAAATCCTGGCACTGTAATGGGGCCAATTCTCCCACCCACGTTAAATGCAAGTATGCTAATGATACTACGCCTTCTTCAGGGTAATGATATCTATCTGACCAGATTTTACATGTAACTCACCAGCTTTATATCTTCTAATTTTCCCTTCATATTTGACCAACTCGACAATCTCTATTGAGTAATGTTTATCTTGAGTAGTGACCTTCACAAATCATGCTTCTGGCCTGATTTAGGTTCAATTGTTATATTAAGTGTGAATGCGAGGTTGTGAATCGTGTAGCGACACGATTTCTGTTTTTTGAAGAATTAATGTTGTATACACCTTGCTAGACCCTGCACTGCTGGGATGTTACGTGAGGTTGTTTTGGATTTGAAAACCATTAGAAATTCAAACTTAGGTTTGCTTGTAAGTCAACATTAAGGACAATAATTAGAAAGGAAGCATCTAAATCTGCTTGTGTTTCAAGTATCCTTCTCACAGATTAAGGACCCCTAAGTTTAGGAAAAGAGAAGGTCAATTATAAAGTGTTTTTTTATTATTCTTTTTTAAAAATATATAGATTTTATAATAATTATTATTAAGAATAGAACTCTTTGTTCTAGTTATTGCATCCACTTCTGAGTCATTGGAAGTAAAAAGGAACATAAGAGTTTGCTGAAGAGAATGGTTTGAACGTGGTTGTGGTTAACCTTGGGACTGTCATGTGGCCTGTTCTCTCACCCATGTGAAAATGTGAAATACAAACAGTGTAGTGCTTCTTCACTATATTCAGGGTAATAATTGCTAGATATTTTCAAAATCTTACATATAGTTTAGGCCTATGTTGTCTTCCAGCTTTTTCTTCTTATTTGATTATTTGACAGTCATCTTTCAGTAATTTTTACATCCCTTGAAAATGATGGATCAAATACAGCATCTCTCTAAATCTCACACACACACACACACACACAAAATTGACCGAAATTGAACGTGCATATTTTTTCACATAATGTGCATAAGTTTCACATAATGACCGAAAAAAGTATCAGGTCCAAAATCAAATATGCACATTTCATCCTTCTCATTATTCTCATTATAAGATCCTTCTCATTGGATCTCTAACCCTATATATATATATATATATATATATATATATATATATATCACACACACACACACACACAGAGAGAGAGAGAGAAGTTTTTTAAAATGAGAAGGATTTTATGTGCATAAAATTTTCACTGAATGTGCATATTTTTTGAATAAAATGTGCCAAAAAAAAAAAAATTTGACCCAAATTGAACGTGCATATTTTTTCACATAATGTGCATAAGTTCTCGTTTTTCTAGAAATTGCAAAAAAAGTATCAGGTCCAAAATCAAATATGCACATTTAGGAGAAAATTTATGCACATTTAGTTCAAAATAAATGCACATTTCATCCTTCTCATTATTCTCATTATAAGATCCTTCTCATTGGATCTCAACCCTATATATATATATATATATATATATATATATATATATATATATATATATATATATATATATATATATATATATATATATATATATATATATATATATATATATTGATGTTCAATACAGAGTAGTACTCCATACCCCTATAAAGGTGATTGAAACAACTGCTTTGTAGTTTAAAGCTTAAGGTGCTCTAGTTTATACATTGTCTTTTAGTTTTACAATATTGACTTGGGAGAGATTCTTCCGCATCAGTCTTCTCACAATTTTTCAAGTATAATTTGTTTTGTTATGATCTATGGAGTACAAAATGAAACTAATCGAAAATTTTAGTCCACCTAACTTGTCTTTTTAAAATAAACTCTGCAAAAGTAATGAGGGAAAATCATTCAAATCTGCTTGCATTTCAGTTCATACATACTCCATTTACAGTCAAGATACTTATTTTTTGTGTTTCCAAATTGCAGGCTGCACTGAAACATATGAAAATTTCTTTATGGGATCTGTTCATGTTAAGGATGTGGCCCTGGCACACCTTTTAGTATATGAAAACAAGTCTGCTACTGGAAGACACTTGTGCGTGGAAGCTATATCACACTATGGTGACTTTGCTGCCAAAGTGGCAGAGCTATTACCGGAGTATAATGTGCCAAGGTAATTTCCTTTACTATCATTAAAGTAACTTGTTTACTGTTTCTTTTCAACTGTCAGGCAAGCATTATTGTACTAAATTTGTGATAATAATCTAGGTCTTGACGATCTGGGATTGCAACCTGAGTTTGTAATCTTTGTATCGCAAGTTTGTAATATTACAACTATCTAGAGCTTTACCTATTAGTACCTAGCAGTTGCTTAACATCATGGCCCCTTTTGGCCTTTTCTTTATCATGAGATTTAAAATTTAGGCCTCAATCCCTCTTCCATCTGTACAGGTTTCCAAGAGATACACAGCCGGGGCTGTTGAGGGCCAAAGATGCATCAAAGAAATTGATTGATTTAGGTCTTCAATTCATACCAATGGAGCAAATAATCAAGGAGTCTGTTGAGAGTTTAAAGAGCAAAGGATATTTATCGTGAACATGCTTTTTAGAGTCTTTCCTAATTAGCCCTAAGATCAGAAGCTATGTCTTAATAAGCCATGCAGTTTACAGCCAAGTGTTTGTATACTGTAATATGATTTTGTACTAGGTGTTCTAGCAACCCTAGATTGAACTAGAACTTGTATTGGGCCTTAACATTTGAGAGTTCAACTCATAAGGAATAAATATATGACTATTGTGGCCATATAGCTTCATCAAATAATTCTAATGCCAAATCTGTCTCTACGCTATGTTCTCTGCTTCTTTTTTTTTTTTTTTTTTTTTTTTTTTTTTTTTTTTTTTTTTTTTTGGTGCAAATGTTCTCTGCTTCATCAGATACCTGCTGTGTATTTTTTATTCTATCTTATGCAGAACAGTAGCATAAGCTGTATGTATTGTAAGCATACAGCTTCATCGAGTAATTCTGCTGCCTGATCTGTCTCTATGCTCTGCTCTCTGTTTCATCATTAGCTGTGTATATAATTTATTCTATCTTATACAGAACAGTAGCATAAGAGTTCTCCATTACTCCTTGAAGCCAATATCGGTGATATGTATAAGTGTGCAACATTCCCAGTGTTTATTAGAAGGTACAGGCTGTTCTTTGCTATGAGATAGTGCATTCAGTTTTGGAGATAGATTTTCCGAGAATAACATCTCACTATCTCAACAATTGCACTACTGTGAAATAGTGTTATTTTAAGACTTAACTAAGATATTAGCTTTCCTGAAAGAGGGTCTCAATCAGGAAAGAGGAGGTATGCTCTTATTTGGTATATAAAATATTGAAAATGACATGTTATTGTTCTCTTGTTGAAAATAGATACGATTCTTGTGAAGAAGATAGTGGACCATTACATTTCATCAGCTTCCACTTATTTTAGTTCTAGTTTTAGTAATTTGAAGATGAATGGCATGCTGTTACAACGTTATTTCTCCATGAGGATGCTGGATGCATGGTATGTTTTTTCTTTTCTTTATTATTTTTAACCATTGCTGCGTTTACTGTCAAAAAGTGAATGTTATTCCTATTTCTAAAGAAAGAGATATGGGTGTAAGTCAAATTTCATTATTCCCCATTACTCTTTAGACTTGTAATAGTTTAATTTTCATATCTGTATGTCATTAGAGATATGAAAAATAAACTATTACAAGTCTCATCAGATTTTACTGAGTCCTGCATACTGTATTACTGTATGTATTGCCATTATTTAACATTTACAGTAATATAGTCCAATTTTGTTCTTGTGATGACATGCATCTAGGAGTACATTCTAAAGTATGAAGGTGATTCTTGAACCCTCAGGCTATGCACCATGCTGATGCATGACTAGTGTGTGCACCTCTTTTATCGGAGGGTGCATGCCTGCATGGTACTTCCACCAGAATGCACACACTAGAAACTGTTCATATCTCTTATGCACTATTATTCACCCTGATTCCTACACCATAGCCGATAAATACACTAGGAGAACATAAGTGTCAGTGAAACATTCCTGCACGTCTTGCAATTTCCTCATTCACTCTGTAACACAGTAGTGGGAAGAATTGTGCTATAAATGTCAGAATAGTAGTGCTTAATGATGTGAACTTAATCCTAAAATAAGTCACTCGATCAAAAATGACAAAAAACAAATTTATGGTCTTTAAAACATCAGTGATACACTTCAAACCTTGGGGGTTTCCAAAAGTGGAAAATGATGTCGGGAAACAAAACTGAAACATTCTTACACTATAAATACCAGTACTGGTATATCTCCTCCATTCTTCATTCTTTGCAAAATCCTCTGTTCTATTGACTGCAACAATGGCTTCTTTACTTCTGCAGTGCTGTTTCTTTCTCTTTGCATACCTATCAATGATTCAAATCTGCTTAGGGAATACAAATACGGTGGGAAATGTAAAGTTGGATTTGTACTATGAGAGCTTGTGTCCATTCAGTGCTAAGTTCATCATGAGCAAACTCCCAGTCATCTTTGAGAATGGATTAATGGACATTGTTGATCTTCGCCTTTTTCCTTGGGGCAATGCCAAGCTTGCTTCCAATAACTCCATCACTTGTCAGGTCTAATTTCATCTACCTTTATTCCCCACTCTTTTACTTCTAATTTTTGCTAAATGTTTAAAATTTCATTTCAGCATGGTCCTAAGGAATGCTTACTTAATACTGTTGAAGCCTGTGCCATTTATGCATGGCCCAACGTGGTAATCTCTCTTTTTTTTTTGCCTTTTTTTGTGGAAGTAAAATAAAGCATTGTAATTTTCTTGAGTTTCACTTATAAGCTGCTGATTTATCTATGTACTTAAATTTCTTCTACGTTCTTCTGCCTATTATTTTCAAAGTGTATCTTTTGTGCAGACAAGTGAATGTGTTTTTGCATTCATTTTCTCAGCAGTCTAAAATTGTGCCTTTTGGTGTAGTAAATTGAATGTTATTTATGTAATTGAACATCTTACTTACCATGCGGATTTGACTCTTTGACAGGATGTCCATGTCCCATTTATTACTTGTGTTGAGAGTCAGGCTTCCGCGGGCAAGTACAAGGAATGGAAAGCTTGTTTTCAGGAGTTGGGTTTGGATCCAGAACCTGTTAATACGTGTTACAAGGGTGAAGGTGGAAAACAGGTTAGCCTTTTTTTTTTGTGCTATATCTTTGTTTCATGCAAGCTTGTCATGTTCATGTAATCCAGAATTAACCTTCACTTTGCAATGTATGCTTCCTTTATACTTATATTTCCTGGAGAGTATTTCACCATATTGGATAGTCGATTAGCCAAATGTGTTCCTATCAATCAGGGCCTAAAGAATAGAACTTACTCCATGTCACTGACTTAAGGCTGCATAGTAGTATGGAATCTGTAGATTGAGCAATGAGCATTACTTACTCTGCTGTAATCATCAGGAGCCTCGTGATATGCATTTGAGTGACGGTGATGACATTTGTATAGTTTGAAGTTTTATAGTTCCTTTTCTTGTCAAGGCGCATGTGGATAATTTGTAGTTTTATTGATCTTGAGAAATCATATCTTGGTTTATATTGTTTCTGTATCATTTTTCTACTGAATAAAATCTTGGTATTTTGGGAATTCCTATATGCTGTAAATAGCTTGATGCAAGCAAGCCAAATGTATGTGCCAAGATATACTCTAGAGCTTGCAAGCTGCATGTGCTCCCTTTATTCTTATCAGGATGTTATGAAGGAATAATATTCTGAAATTTTTAAGGCATGCTATTGAAATTTACCTGTTTATTCAACCCTTTCTATTCTGTCAACTGTTTGGCATATCTGTAAGAACGAATAGTCATATGTACACTTCTAGTTGAGAGTTCGAAGAATAATAGAAGCAGCTGAACTACTCGTAGTTTTATCATGCTTGGAAGCTTGCTTCTATTCTGGAGTTAAGAATCAGTGTTATACTGGATGTGAATAATATCGAGAGTCATAGCTCCTGTTTCAGTTTTCTTATCTTAAGTAAACATACATCTCTCATCTGAATATAAATGTTATATATCCTTGATGGATAGGGTAGATTTTATTAGATGGTATGTGACTGACTGTTAGAATGTGTAATCATTTTGACCATGGCTAGCATTAGAACAGCCACATTTGCAGAAGAAAATTAGTTGTAGAAGTTACTCGTACTCTATAAACAACTTTAAGCTGGCGATTATTCTACTGGGGCTTCTTTGTTTCTGCCTTGGGTTATTGGCTGAATTTAACTGACCAAATTCCATGCAGCTTGAGTTAATATACGCAAATCTAACTGCCTCACTCAAACCTCCTCATGTATATGTGCCCTGGGTAGTTGTTGATGGAAAACCTCTTGAAGATGTGAGTAAATCCAATTCTGTTATTCTTTTTTACTGATCTTCTTTTTCTTTCTTCAGAACGATTAATAACTTTTAAGTTATAATAACTTCTGTTGAACTTTCTATGTTATAGGATTATGAAAACTTCATTAGTCACATCTGCAAAGCTTACAAAGGGATTCCACCTACTGCTTGCGTGAAAACATCCTTAGCAAGTGCTCTCAAGGGAGGAGTTCATGCTCTCCCCCTGTCTGATAAGGAAAACAAACCCCAAAGGCCCCGTTCAAATGAAAATTTGGTCCTTCGTAGCGTCATGGATGGATTAGATTATATAAATCCTGCTGTCATGTAAAGACAGTGGTTGTTTTGGTGTCAGGAAATCATAGGAGGCATATAGCTGCTATGTAATTAACGAACTTTATATGTTGTGTAAAACTGTCAAATTTCATATGGCTTTTTCTTGGCAGTTACAGCAATGTTTGTTTAATCCTGTGTCCGTATACCAGTTTAACACTGCAGGTTTTCTTTGATAGTGGAATAAGGTTCAAAATCTCAATAGTTGAATAAGGTTTGTTTGATAGTGGAATAAGGTTTCTTCAGCTCAACGTAAAATCATACTCTCTCTTAGCATAAACATAAACTGGAAATATATTTCATTGCTACTCAATTCTCTACGGTGGATGTGAAAATGGTCGGAATAATTTCCATTTAGTAAAAATATGCAGGGAGCGTGAAACGTTTTGCACCTGCAGACCTTTAGTTGATCTAACACATGTAGAGGTGTATCCTAAAAAAAATTTTAGCTGAGATGCACCGAAACAACACCGTTTTGGCCTATGATGGATTAAACAATGTCGTTATTGCATGCTGTCCGCAAAAGTAACAAAAGTAAATGCCCAAACTGATAAGATACCACTTAATATTTACCAAGTTACCATACATCAGCTAACAGCATCAGCCCAATTTTCCGACTAGATTCACCCAGAATCTGGCCTAGTTCATTTGCCTTAATCCACCTTATCTCAATCGGTCGAATCATCATCTGTAGCCATCAAAGAGTCCAACACGTCTTGCAATGTCTCTAATTCAATCAATAAAGACAATTACATTTGGAAAAACTACAGTATGCTGTAATAAAAGTCAGAAAATTAGTGTCATCTGATGTAAACTACTATGATTATCCACTCAACTAATTATAAAAAATCAGCTGAACAAATCAAACTACCTAAGCAAATATCTGAATCTTATGTGTACTATACTTAAACCACAAAGATTCCTCAAACTAACACTATAAAAGTGGGCCAAAAAAATCTGAAAGATTCTCACACTGCCACCTCTACTCCCCTAACATCCACAAACATCAATATAAGTAGCAACACTGATGTAATTATGTTACCTAGTTGATCTCCATACTTTGTAATTTCTCTGTTTTTACAAAGATGGCTTTGATTTTGCGACGGTGTTTCTATGTTCTTGCATACTTAGCTGTGATTCAAGTGTGCTTAGGAAGTCCAAATTCGGCGAAAAAGGTGCCTTTAGACTTGTATTATGAGAGCTTGTGTCCTTATTGTGCCAATTTCATCCTCAATGAGCTACCCATCATTTTCGAGAATGGTTTGATTGATATTGTTGATCTTCGCCTTTTTCCTTGGGGAAACGCCAAGCTCATCTCCAACAACTCTTTCATTTGCCAGGTCTGTATGACTGTATTCAACTTTTTAGTGCAATTGAAAATGTCTGAAACATCAATTGTTTAGAAACGGAGGGAGTAAATTATCGTAGAATACTATTAAGACTGATTAATTGTTTTTTTTGTTGATGATTTCATTTCAGCATGGTCCTAATGAATGCCGATTTAATACAATTGAAGCTTGTGCGATTGATGCTTGGCCTAATCTGGTAAATCTCTTTTGAGCTTGTAATTTACTTTGATTATGTTATGTTTGCATTGAAGGTATATATCATCATGATCCTGTAAGTTTGATCCAATTTATAGCAGCTGAAGAATGAAATCTAATACGGAGTATGTAATACATGTATCATTTACAACCGTCTCAAACATTTTAGAGGACTTGTACTAATTTATAACCCGAATCTAACTCTTTTACAGGAAGATCACTTCCCATTCATTACATGTGTTGAGAGTCAGGTTTCTGAGGGCAAGTACACCCAATGGGAAACTTGTTTCGAGGAGTTGGGTTTGGATCCAAAACCTGTTATTAGTTGTTACAATGGCGATCATGGCAAAAAGGTCAGTCATCTTTGGTTCCCTATATTCACAGTTTCTTGCTAGGTTGTCTGTAAATGTAATCAGAAATTAACTCATCAAGCTTCATGTATGCAGCTTCAGCTAAAATATGCAGCTCTAACTGCTGCACTCGAACCTCCTCATAGATATGTGCCTTGGGTAGTTGTGGCTGGAGAACCCCTTCTTGAGGTGAGAACTATGAAACTATCATTTCTGCTGTCCTCAATACTGCAAATTCTATGTCGCGGCCTGTAAGTTTCATAAACGTACACACAGGCACATGTACAACACTGTCCGAGTGTACATAAGTTGTGTTGTGTCATCATCATTTCTTTGTTCAGGATGATTAATATCATTTTTTTTTTCCTTCTATGTTATAGGATTATGAAAACTTTACCAGTTACATATGCAAAGCTTACAAAGGAACTCCACCTAGTGCTTGCAAGAAAGCATCCTTTGCAAGTGTTCTGAGAGGAAAGACGAATCATTATCATCCTGTCTGCTACACAGAACAGACTGCAAAGACACAATTCCTGGTGAATATTTGGTCTACCATAACATCATGGATTGATCAAATGATATAAATCAAACCCTGTTATGTAAAAGACATCGCGGTGGTTTTTGTTCAATGTCTATTACCATCTAGGCATGTAGATGTTAATAACAACCTTGTCCGTTTTTAGAGTGTTATTGAATTATTGTTTTGTATTGGCACCAGTATAACCCTGATCTTAGTAGATGGAGTAATTAATGTAATGATCTCTTTTCGAGATAAGGTAGGTTGATCAGTGAGATGTAATTCATACCAATATCAGTATAATGAGCTAAAAGTTGCTTGTAAATTAAAGATAATGGTGTACATGTCCTCCGGCCAACATTGTTGCCATTCATAACTTTGTGTATCCTCTTAACCCTGAATTGTCCAAGGTTCTCAATGATTTCAATAATCATCTTGAGTTAGTAACCGTTACACCTATTCACAACTTTGTACGTTTTGAGTATGTCACTTAATTGGATTGAAGACATTGATCCTTTTCAAACATTTAGATTGGTTAAAGAAGTTAGGATGGTTACTTTGCCTATCATGCAAGATGAATGAACTATGTGGCAATGTGCCTAGTATGGCACGCAAATGAAAGATGATCCCTTTCGTTACTCTAACTAAACTTCCAATGCAACTTCTAAAGAAATACATAATTTCCCATAATTTTTAGGGACACCCGAGTGTATGATAGAATTTGCTGAATATTTATCACCATTCTTTTTAGTTTTAACCATCATATCACCAATTGATTACAAACCCACATCTAAGCTTTCATTCCTTTTAGTCAGAATATCTTTTTATGTACACCTGAGTATACAATAAAATCTACGTCCGCCAAAAAAAATTGGCAAGTATTAATACAGCCCATTTTCTAAATTAGGTTCACCACAACCTGATGAAGTTCATTTTCCCTCCATTCTCTGTCTCTCTTTCTTCCACATTGCAACAAAACCATAATTAAATCAATCAAAAACCCTCAAATTTCAAAATCAAAACTAAATCTTTTCCAGAATCCTCAGTTCATCCAAAAATGGCGTCTCCAAATCTTCGAAGAATTTTCTCTCTCCTCCTCACACACCTAACAATCACCCAAATCTGCCCAGCAACTTCAAATTCTGCAGAAAAAGTGAAACTAGATTTGTACTACGAAAGCTTGTGTCTGTACAGTGCTGACTTCATCATCAACGACCTCGCAATCATCTTCCAAAACGGTATAATCGACATCGTTGACCTTCGCCTTTTTCCTTGGGGCAATGCTAAGCTCACTTCCAATAATTCCTTTACTTGCCAGGTTTGATTCATTCAACATTTTTTCGTTTTTAATTTTATTTTTATCGATTTTATCAAAATTGAATTTGATTAATGGTGATTTATTGGTTTTGATTGATGATTAATGATGATTTCAGCATGGTCCTAATGAATGTTTGCTTAATATTGTTGAAGCTTGTGCCATTCATGCTTGGCCTAATCTGGTATATTTTCTTCTCCTAATAATTTTTGCCTTTATTTTACCTAATTTATCATATACTTTGAAATTATTTGAAACATTTCTTAAATTAGGGTTAATTTAGCATTGCTTGGCAAAATCAAATATTGATTTCTGTTACTCGTTGATTGATGCAACTAATGTTTGATTTTGCTTAATATTTCTAGTTTTAGCAAACCTAAAGTTGGTATATAGTTCTTCGGATTATTTCTCTAGTACTTTTAATACAACTTTTAACACTTTAGAATTTGGTAGATATGCATGTTTGTGTTTGTGTTTGTGTTTGTGTTTGTGAAGTATTTCTTGAAATATATAGTTATATACATATTTGGTGTAGTTTCATCTACTTATAGCTCACATCATTTTGCTTAAATTGTCTTGTTTGATTTTATATATCAATGTTTTTGTTTAAATGTTTCAATTTGAGATAATAACATCAGTTTTGGTCTAAATTTGAATTGATACTATATGATATGGAATTTAATCTGGTGGGACTGCTGAGTTCAATAGCTGCATTTTTTTGTGAAGTTTGGCTGGTGGGAGTTCATCTAAATAGACCAATTTCGGATAATTTTGTTTAAATTTTTGCGCTTGCTACGCCCAATTGTTTTGAATTGTTTCTTATCAGAGCATGTAGGTAATTGAGAGTGTGATTTGCATGTATCTTAGCCATTTTGTTTAAAGTTTGCACTTCTTTTATAAACTAATCTTGATTTGTGTCTTCTTGGATGGAAGAATCTGCTTTCTGTAAAACAGAAGCTAATTTATGTTGTGGATCAAACTCTTTGGCAGGATGACCACTTCCCGTTTATTACTTGCGTTGAGAGTCTTGTTTATGAGGGTAAGTACTACCAGTGGGAAACTTGTTTCAAGGAATTGGGATTGGATCCAGAACCTATTACTGATTGTTACAAGAGTGAAGCTGGAAAGAAGGTCAGTCTTCTATGGGGCAAAATTTTCATTGTTTCGTGCTAGCATGTGTTGCTAATACGAGTATAAACCAAAATATACCTTATTTTTGCGCTATACGTTAGTTCTCAGTTTTCATCTTTAGCATGGAAATATTTGCCACCTTTAGTCCAACTTTTGTTATTTACATGCCTTTGATATCTATGCGTATACACAAATACAGTATGTTGTAAATACTGTAGAATTTAAATCAAATGTATTCCAAATTATTAGGGTCTAAAGCAATCAAAATTCATTATAGATTAAACTGCTCTTACTCCACCAAGAGCCTCGTTAGAGGCATTTAGGTAACTGCAATGGATTAAATGCTTATTTCACTCTACATGATCAATCAATAAGCAACCAGTAAGATAAGGTGATTTTCCTTTTATATTGACAAACTAAGAACACATGCCATGCGTGTGTGAGCAATATAAGAAGTTTATAAAACTTCATTCTTCTCTTTTAGTAAATTTAATAACAGTTGGTTAAAAAAAAAATTAAAATAAAAAGTTACATGTGTTCTGAAGTTTTTCATTTATTTATTCTCATCAAGAGATCTATGAAGGAATGATGATATTCGGAAGAAAGTTGGAGTTGCGGATATTGATATGAGGATGATATAAGGAAGGTGAAGGGTTGTCTAATTGACTTGATGGAGATCTCAAACAAGCCGAGAAAGATCAAAGATGACTTGGATGGAGGGAGTTAAAAAGGACATGAAGAAAGTGGGCTTAGAAGAGGATCTTTGTGGATGACCATAGGAGAAAAATTATCTATTCATGTTGTAAACTCTGTGACTTTAGTAATAAGGCTTTGGTGGTGATGATGGTGGTGTTACTGGTGTATTCTTCTATGAATGAATATTCTGATGGTTTTAAAGAAGGCTTTTATAAGAATTTATCTTTTTGTTCAGCTCTTTCTACTCTGGCTAACATTTGATATAGTTAAAGAACAATGCGTACTATCTAATTTGACACATGAAGAATTGATAAAAACACCTTAAATTCTCAGTTTTATACTGTTGGAAGGAATTATTTTTTGTAGTGAGCTGTAATTTGGAGTCTTGCTCTTCTGTTTTCGGTTTCCTTGGTATATGCTTTATGGGTAGCTGTTTATGTATTTTCTATTGTTTCTGCCTTCTGTTGATTGAATTTAACATATCAAGTTCCATGCAGCTTGGGCTAAAGTACGCAGCTCTAACTGATGCCCTCAAACCTCTGCATAAATACGTGCCTTGGGTTGTTGTGGATGGAAAACCACTCCTTGAGGTGAGAAATGTCCATTATTCTGTCCTCATAACTGAAGGGTTTTTTTTTTAAATTCATGAAAATGAATAACTAATTCTTGTATAAATCTATATGTTCTAGGATTTTGAAGACTTTATAACCTACATATGTAAAGCGTACAAAGGACCACAACCTAGTGCCTGTAATGTGGTATCCTTTGCAAGTGCTATTACAAAGAAGGCTAGTCATGTTCACCTTGTTTCCTACACAGAACAGACCATAAAGGCGACACCCTTAATGAAAATGTGGTCCTTCATACAATCGTGGATGGATCTGATGGTCTAAATCATGTTATCATGTAAATTTTTTTTTTTTGCCTCAAGAAGCCATAAAGGCTTTCATGAAGTACCGTTTATGCTGTATATAACGTTTGTTGCAGAATTTGTTAAATTCGTGAATGTTGTCTATGTAAACCAGCTGTACTTTTGCTAGTCTGTGAGTTTCGTTGTGTGGAAGAAGGTTGTTCAGAATCTCAACAGATATTTTTTAATTACTTCAGCTTAAATTAGCAATTGAAATTGTAATGTCTCAGATTGGCACGAACAGTCAATCCAATTTATTGTCTATTGGTACTCGTATTAGATGTCTTACTTCATAACTTGGCCTACCTCAAATCATATCTAGTATACTCGTAATTTGGTAGACATCAGGTTCAAATCCAATCTAAATTCAACCAATTTTTACATTAATCTAAGGAAAAATTGTCAAAAACTACTCAGGAAAATTTGTTAAAACCTACTTGCTAAAAAGTTTTATAAAAACCCCTAATTTTAAATTGTTTCTTTTTTTTCATTTTACGATAACTGATTCTGGTAAGTGGGACTCAGGGCCTGTTCTCATTGACTGAACTGAACTGATCTAAGCTGAACTGAACTGAACTGAAATGAATATTTTATAAGAGAAGGAAATTAGGAGCTGAACTGAGCTGAGCTGAACTAAACTGAACTGAGCTGAACTGAACTGAACTGAATTTCAACATAAGAGAACAGGCCCTCATTTGTTATTTTATCTCCAAAAAAAATCTTCACCCTCGTATGTATTAACCACCTTCCTCTTCCTTGCAAAAGCTCAATCTAAAAAACCAAATCATTTTTCCTTCTTCAATCTGCGTTTTTCACAAAGATTTAGGTTTTAAGATTGAGTTTTGATAGGCCGTCGTCGAGCCTACCAAAGATAAAAACCTAACTTGGTCTCTCAAATGGGTAGAAAGGGCAAGTAAGGGTCAATCCCACAAGGACTAAGGGGAGCACTAACAAGTATCGATTTGTGATAAGCTAAGTTAAGTCTTTTTGGGTTTTGAGTTATAATGAAAAACTACAAACAATAATAAAAAGGATCTTGGGAAGGTATCCACCAATTAATTAAGTCATTCACAAACTACAATTTAACATACAAAACATAGCAATTTGGGGATAAATTAGGGGAAGTCATCTAAGGCATCCAGCTACTCTCTCAAGCTAGAGGGATTACTTGAGTTATGAATACAATCTACTCTCGTGGTTACAAAGCATAAAACAAGTGTTAAAGCATTATCACGATGACATAAACATTCCCTTGACTGGAAATTCCTATTCTCATGGCATTTCAAGTCAATTAAGCATAAGGGAGCTAACTCAAGTTCATCTCTCGATCCTTCGTTGAGAAAGCTTAGATAAATAGTTCTAGCAATGGCCACTTACAAGAACTAACAATGAAACCACTTAAACTTAACTAATTAACATCCCACATTAGCTAAATCAACACATGCAAACAAGTATTTGTGAATTCATCAATGGTTTCAACCATCCCAAGTAAAAGAACTACTCACACATCATTATAAATTGCAAAACTAAAGTAGTAAACTACTAAGAACATGAATCCAAACACTAATTTAACATAAACAAGTAATAAAACTAAAAAAGATACAAAAATAAGTAATTAAAGCAATAAAATAAGAGAGAGAGTAAGAAATTCTCATTGATAATGCAAGAAATAATCAAATCTTCAAGTTTCCTTCCTTCAATTCTTCATATTCCAAGCTTTCAACAAGTTTTTCACACTTTCTCTCTCTAGAAAATGAGAGTTTCTCTCTCTAAAAATCCTAACCTAAGCTAAAACTCTTGTAAAAGATCTTTTTTTTTTACAAATGAAGCCAAAGAGGTATTATATAACCCCCAAGTAAAAGGACGGAGAACACGAGGAAACGACCCGTCTACAGGTCGGCACGGACGTGCCAAAGGTTGCACGGACGTGCAGACCTATTAAAATACGACCAGTAGCTACTGCCTGACCTTGCACGGACGTGCCTTATTTGGCACGGACGTGTAGTGACTTGCACGGACGTGCCACTTATTGGCACGGACGTGCAACTCTTTTCTGGCGAAACAACTTATTTTTGGAAGATTATAACTTCTTTGTTACTCATCAGAATAAGGCATGTGACCAGTCGTCAGAAAGCTCTTGAGATGAAATTTAATCTCTAATTTGAATCACTTCAAAATGTTGAGTGGAACAAAAGTTATGGTCAGTTGAAGTTGACCTTAGTGCAAAAATCCTTCCCAAACTTTCCAAAAGCTTTTCATTTCTCTTTAAGGCACTTATCCTTCTTTCTTAATTGCTCTATCAACCAAGCTTTCCCTTCTCCTTGTTCACTCATGCTTGATCACGTCCATATATAATGCTAAAAATAGCTACATTACATCAAAAACACAAACAACCCATGAAGCATGGATGGTACAAAATTTGTATAAAAATAGGATAAATAATGAACTTTGATGTCGAATAATCACGAAAACAAGGTTCAAAAGTACCCTAAAATCATACCAAATAACAAGTTATCAAGTTTTTACTAGAAGAAGAGGGTTGGTTAATATATACGAGAGTGATGATTTTATTATGGAAGGAAAATAACAAATAGGCCCTTCTCGCTGAAATTTGTTGTCGGAAAATGAAAAAAAGTAATATATAATATAAAGTTTATTTTTGTTGGTAATTGCAGTTATAAGTAATATGGAGTATAAAGTTTTAATGGGAAATCCAATATTAAAATTCCAAAAAAATATATTAATGTAAAACACACGTATTTGTTTGCGCATATACGTGCAATATATAATATATAATATGATATGATGTTTTTAGAAATTTTATGTCATTATCAAATTTTATATAATATGCAGGTTTAGTTAAACTAATATGTACTATACTAGATTAGTCCCGTGCGATGCACAATTTTTTTTTAAATATAGAGTATATATTTTATTTATTCTTACTTATTAGAAAAATTGATGAGACATGACAATTAGTTGTAAATTCTAATTTTATAAAGTTAATTTTGAAGAAGAACAAACCAAATATGAAAATTTAAGCATATACATAAAAGTTAAATTTTTAATATACGATTTTAATTAAGCAAATAAAAAATGATTTTAAACTTGTGTAATATATAAAGGAAAATAGAAAAAATATATACATCAGATTATTTTGTTCAATGAAGCATACCAATAGTTGGTGATAGAAGAAAAATAAATAAATTAAAGAGTATAGATAAATTGAGAGGAGGAGAAATTAAATTTGAAATATAAAACCAAAGAAAATATGATGACATTATATTTTTATTTAGCCAGGAAAAATTTTCATATAAAGCTGCCACGTGGACCATTTAGTTTATTTATAGATATGAAAAAAATTATTAGATTATTTAAATAAAATGTTTTCAGCAATAAAAATATATTCAAACCTAAATAAATTTGAAATACTCTCTTGGTGTTTAAATAAATGAGAAGTTTTATTTTTACAACTGTATTGCAATAAATGAGATGTTTCCTTTTTTTAATAACTTCTCTTTATTTTTAATAATATTATAATACCTAATGGTCCCCACCTTCTAATTTTATATTATTTCAGAATACCAATGGTCTCACAATTTACATTAAAAAAATAACACCCACTTCTATCACGGAAAAGCCACAATATTCTTCTCTCTCTACTCTCTAGCTACATGTCTTTTCTCTTTCCTCAAACTTTTCTTTAGTTCTTAAATTTTCCAATTTCTAAACCCTAGATCTACAAATTTTTCAATTGTTGGAGCTCTTCAATGGACAACAATGGAAAAAAAGCCATTTTGTTTATCGAATTGCACATGGTTGGTGGTAAATTGCAGTTGGTGGCCGGTGAATCGCACGTGGTGGGTGCCGAATTTGATCAAGACGGAGATAAAAAATAGGACATCCACGCTCCGAAATCTGATTATGGAGAGCCTTGATTCTTAGTTGATTTAGTTGAATGTGGATTTAGGGTGACTGGCTGATGAGTGATGACTCAGTCAAGTTGTTCCTAAAACTGAAATGGAAGACAACCCTGCCACTCCCGACGAAATATTTGTAGTTGGAGCTGAAGAAGTCTCCGACAATCCAAATCATGAAGAGCAAAATGGCCTTGATAATGAACTACGCCATGTGAAAAAGTCAATGTAGTTTATTGTCTATTGTATTACCTGCATTTGACATCTTATTACTTACTTAGCCTAACTCCAAATCAAATATAGTAATATATTTTTACATTAATCTAATCCAAATTTAAAATCATGGGGAACTTTTCTAGTAGTTGTACTTATTTTTGAGACAAATTATGCATGTCTAACACAACTTAAAAACAAGTCGATTTAAACCATTATCTATAAGGTTATTAATAAAAGGATAATTTGCCAATTACTACCGCATGTTAATACCACTTTGTAAATTACTATCGCAAATTAAAAAAGTTGTGAATTACTACCACAAATTTTTTTAAGATGTTGCGATTACTACCAAACCCCCATTAACCCCAACTTTGACGTCATTATACACCTTTAACCCGTGTTTGACCATGGTTAAGGGCTTTAACCAGCCCCCCCAAAAAAAGAAAATGGTTAGGGCTATAATGCCGTCATGGTTAAGGGCTTTAATCATGGGTTAAAGTGATATAATGACGTCATAGTTGGGTTTAATGGGGGTTTGGTAGTAATCGCGACATCTTAAAAATTTTTGCGATAGTAATTCACAACTTTTTTAATTTGCGGTAATAATTTACAAAATAATATTAACTTGCGGTAGTAATTAACAAATTTTCCTTAAAATAAATTGAAAAATAAATTCTAACACAAGCCCTTGCTTGTACTTGTAAATCTACATTCTATTATATATTTATATACTACTTATGTCAAATTTTAAAGGTAGACAAATAGACTAGTATGTAGTGAAGTTTAAATTACTTATATGCTTCATATCTTTTAAAAAAAAAATTAATTTTAAAAATTATCCATTATAAAGATAAAGTTAAACACGAAAGAAGAGTAATAAGTTGTCGATATGTCCGAGTGGTTAAGGAGACAGACTCGAAATCTGTTGGGCTTTGCCTGCGCAGGTCCGAATCCTGCTGTCGACGACATCCTTTAATTTTCTTTTTAATCAAAATTTAATTCCCATGTTTCAAAAAAATTTAATTCCCCAAAACGACGACGTTTTTAAACCCCACGCAAACCTTCCCATAAAAGAATACAGAAAATATAAAAACAACCCAGCAGCAACAATTCACCACCCTTTTTAAAATCATCTTCTTCTCAAACTCTCCCAAAAAAAAAAAACCCTAATTCCCAAATTTCCCCTCTTTCTCTCTCCTCCGAATCGCATCAATGGCAGGCGGAGGCCCCAATTTGGAATGTCGGATGTACGAATCTCGATACCCAGAAGTGGATATGGCGGTAATGATTCAGGTGAAGAACATCGCAGACATGGGTGCGTATGTTTCTCTTTTGGAGTACAACAATATCGAAGGAATGATCCTTTTCTCTGAACTTTCTCGTCGTCGTATTCGGAGTGTTAACAGTCTTATTCGGGTGGGTCGTACTGAACCCGTTATGGTTCTTAGGGTTGATAAGGAAAAGGGTTACATCGATCTTAGTAAACGTAGGGTTTCTGAAGAAGATATTGCTCAATGTGAGGAACGCTATAATAAGAGTAAGCTTGTTCATTCGATTATGCGTCATGTTGCCGAAACTATGAACATGGATTTGGAGGTTATTTTTCTTCTCTCTATTTCTTAATTTGAGTTTAGTTTTGATTTTTTATTGTGAATTTATCAATTTTGTTTGTTATTGATGTATTATTGTTTCAAAGCAATACTGGTAATCTGGTATGATGTTTGTTGTTTTAATTGGGGATTTTGTTAAATTATAATTCTTGTGCATTAAGCGTGAGGTTCTTTGGTTTTGCTTCATTTGTTTGTTCAATCATGGATTTTGTACAAGCGTTCTGTTTGAGGATTTAAATGTTATTTGATTGGGTCAAGTATATTTGCACGTCGGAAATTTGCAGTGGTTGTTACTCTCATGGCTTGAAAAGTTTTCTAGTTTTGCTATTGAATTGATTTGTTAATGAATCATTCCTTAGCTTCTTTTTATCTTCTTTAGATTCTAGTAGCAACTATAGTTATACTTTGTTGATTAAAGTTAGTGATTTAAGGATGATAACAAAGTTTATTGTGTAATTTTGTTTAATGTATGTCCCATAAGGTATTCTTTACTATTGGTAAAGATAAAAGGATTTTTTAGTCAGGGCCTTGGGAGGTCCTGGCACTTATTTGTTTATATCCCCCATCTAAATGGACTGATTGAGGAAAAGTTGAATATGGATTTATTTTTTCTTCTCATTTATCCTTTTCAGCTTCCTCGTGCTCGTTATTGCTGTTTAATGGGCTGTGTGGATATTGGGAAGTAGTGATAAGTCATCTGCAGTGTGGAAGTCTAATCTAAACTACAATATTGTTTTTTGTACTCCATTGGATTTATGTTGAGTTAGCTGGAAATTTTGAGAAAGGGCAGCATGGGCAAGTTGCACTGTGTTGTAGTTTTATAAGAAAGGAAATATTTATTTTGGTGTAACCTTGTATAGTGGTGGACAACTGGACTATGGTAACACTCTGTTTGGGACAAAGAATGTGTTGTAATTTAGTGATAAGTCACCCGCAGTGTGGAAGTCTGATCTAAACTACAATATTGCCTTTTGTACTCCATTGGACTGATGTTGTGTGAGCTGGAAATTTTTGAGAAAGGGCAGCATGGGCAAGTTGTACTGTGTTGTAGATTTATAAGAAAGAAAAGATTTTTTTGTTTATCCTTGTATAGTAGTAGTAGTTAACAATGGTAACACTCTGTTTGGGACAAAGAATGTGTTGTAACTTGGGAGTTGAAGGAAGTCGGTTGTGTTCTCTTTTCATTTCTTTTAACATTCAAAGTCTTTTTATAGGAGGGGAGAGTTTGAGGAATATGATTCACCTTTTGAACTTCTAGGTCGGCCTTTGTAGCTAAGGTAGCCTTGGCTGTAAATCACTTAAATAGAAGGATGCATGTCCATCTGACTCTGAACTGCTGTGACATTTACAACATTTTGGAGATGAATCACTTTATCAGTGTTAGAACTATGTTGTTTAGTGGGCTTGAATTTGGGTTTTGTTTTTGTGGATTAATTAGCTGCTAAACCTTCAATCACATGCCTCAAATAACTTTTTAGTTTTGATGACTGGAAATACCCCTTTTGACTTCTAAGTTATATGTAATCTCTAGTCTCCATACTCTATTTCTGAGCTACTTAAGAATAAACATGCTGCCGAATTCACTGGGCATTTGTTCTCGATCTTAACCTCTTTTTCTGTATCAATTTTAATGTTTTTGCCTCTTTTTACTTAGCAGAAGAAATTTTGATTTATGCATAGGACATAATGGTTGAATCTTCATGCTGGCTTGATTAAATGTGTTTTCCATTATGCAGGATTTATACATACGTATAGGGTGGCCTCTGTATCGGAAGTATGGTCATGCTTTTGAGGTAAGCATTTTCATTTTGTTTCCTTTTTGTATTCTGGATGACTTTTTCCTTTGATAAATTTCTAACTTCTTTCATTAAAATAGGCGTTCAAGGTAATTGTGAATGACCCTGACACTATTTTGGATCCACTCACCTATGAAGTCAAAGAAACCGGTCCTGATGGTCAGGAGGTATGCAAATTTTCTCGCTTTTTATTTTCATTGGTGATAATTGTGGTTCAGGTCTCATATGCACTTACTGCAGGTTACAAAAGTGATTCCTGCTGTAACCCCAGAGATCAAGGTTTCTCTGATTAAGAATATTAGACGAAGAATGACTCCTCAGCCTCTAAAAATCCGTGCTGATATTGAAATGAAATGTTTCCACTTTGACGGAGTGCTTCATATCAAGGTAGGTGTTCGTTTTCACTGAACTTGTGTGGTTTAAGTTAATTTTGTTTTTGAGGCTTCTACATAGGTTTTAAAGTAGTGAAGTTTTAGGCTCAAGTATTGCGATTTGGTTGTTTTTAATATTTGAGTTGCATGAGTTTAAAGATGTGCACTTATATGGTTATACCTGTACATGCTGATTTTTTGTATGGATATGTGATGATAAAGTTTCAAAGCCTTTATATCTTTAAGCTTATGAATTCTTCAGCTTTAGTTCCTGATACAGTTTTCACTCCTTTCTCCATCACTCTTTTTTTTTTTTTTTATTCTTTTTTACTAGATTGATTTTTAGTTTTAGATGTTGCATTGATTTTGTGCCATTTAGTGTTTAACTATGGTACTAATTTAGGGGATGAAAATTTGTATTGTGATAAATATGTTAATATAGTTGAAGATGCGCAATTTATCATTTAGCTTCTTTCTATCAAAATGACTTGAACTGCTGGGACTTTAAAGTCATTATTTCTGTGTTGTGTCACATCTATATTTATTTTTTGGAGCCTGATCTGAGCTGTAGAAATGGCCATCTTCTTTCACCTAGCTTTTGAGGGTAAAGGGCACGTGTGCTATATTTCCATAATGTGCTTTTATAAGCTCTCGTGGTTTTGAATGTTGTCTTGTAATTCTATTGGTGGTTGTTACATATATTCTAAATTCCATTGATGGGTATAATGATTTGCAGGAAGCTATGCGTAAAGCTGAAGCCTCTGGAACAGAAGATTGCCCTGTGAAAATTAAACTAGTTGCTCCACCACTTTATGTCTTGACCACTCAGACTCTTGATAAGGTTAGTTCACCATCTCGGAGAGAATATGTAAAAAATATGTTGTTTGATATCTTGAAGAAATTATGTGTCCTTTTAAGAAAAGTGATAACCTTACTTGCTAGTCGTTGTATATGGATGGACCCTTCGATGGCAATTACCAATAATCTTGTTTTTCTTAATTTTATTGTGGCAATTCTTATCCTGTACGTAGGTTTTTCAATGTCATTAGCTGAATTTCTGAAAGCTTTTTCATGCTTCTGCAATATAGGGTTAACCTTTTATTTATTTATTTATTTATTTATTTTATTTATTTATTATTTTTTTTTATGTTACATTTGGATGGTCTTTGGACACTTGAATATAGAAGAACTTTTAAGTTGAGTTATTTATAAAGCAAGACTTGCTATGTAAGGCTGTTCAAATTTCTGTTGTTTAGTTTTCAACTGTCCAAATTATTGATATAGGCTCATATTTTTGGCCTATTTAAACAAGAATAGACTCCCCCCAACACACACGCCCCTACACACACACAAAGAAAGTGAAATAAAAATTTGCAATCTCTGAAACACAAGCTTGCAATTTTTTTTTAAGGTGTCCTTGCCTCCTTGGTGGAGTGTGGGCTGATATTTTCCTGTAGATCTTTAATTCTCAATATGTCCTTCAATAATGTTTTGGATATCCTTGCAGGAACAAGGTCTTGCCACCCTTCACAAGGCAATTGAAGCTTGTACTAAAGAAATTGAACATCACAAGGGAAAGCTGGTGGTGAAGGAGGCGCCAAGAACTGTAAATTTCTTCGTCCTAGCTTTATATTCCTTTTCATTTTGGGGTGATCCTGTCCCCTTTTTTTATTGCCTGATCTGCTGATTTCGAGTGTGAGCCTTATTGGGGACAATTTTTTTCCTCCTGCTCTGAGGGCTGAGAATATGTATTTCGTAGGCTAATTATTAACTTTGGGATGCAGGTGAGTGAAAGGGATGATAAACTATTCCTGGAGCAGTTGGAGAGTTTGCGTCGGGGAAACCTTGAGAAGAGTGGTGACGAGAACAGTGAAGATGAAGATGAAACTGGAATGGGTGATGCTGATATTGATAACGCCGGGTTAAACGAATAGGTTGAATCTAGAAGAAAATTAATAGAAAGGGGGAGTTGATGGCAGATTATCTTCTCCTCAACCTTGCCAATGAATTTTCATACTATTTATTGTTGGATTGGTTGAGTTATGTACATGGCCGGAAAAAGGCTTCTTTTTGGCTACGTGGTAGTTTTTGTTTCCTGAGGTTGCTGATTGTTATGCTACAAAATTTAGTTAAAGACGCCTATATGAGATTAATTCACATAGTTCTGGTAAATGTGCTATTTTTATGCAGGTATTTAATGTTCTACGTAGTCTGTTGTTGGATCACAGTATCGCGATCATTGGGTTTTTTTTTTCCTTTTTTTTTTTTTTTTTAATTTTTTTTATTTTTAAATGCTCAATGCATATTCCTCATTATCTACTGAAAAGCCGATGTCCCTGGATGAATAAATTCAAATCAAATCAAATGATAACAAGAATAAGATGCTCTATGCTTGATTTGTATGCCTTTTCTCTCCTTTTTTTGGTTATGCATTTTCAATATGGCAAAAACAAAGAGTGTCGGTTGTTGATGTTAAAAAGTTCTTAACAGCGATAACAAGGCATCACTGAAGAGGGGCCCTAGAAAGAGCAGCAAGATCTATGAGATTTTCAGAGTTTTTATCTTTTTTGTTTGTGATTTATAACTTAGATTTTGCACTATAAGTTGGACAATAGACCCCCCAAATAAATTTGAAGCAGAGCCTTAAGTGTCTCGTACCCTTTGTCCTTTTGATCTAGTCCTGTGTAGTGTACCTCAAGGTTTAAAAGAGTTAACCTAACCCAAGAGAATAGATGCATACTAGAGGACACATCTATAGTCCAAAATCAAGGTTATTTTGGTTAATCACAGATTATTGCTGTGATTTTTGAGGCATGCTCGAATATACTAAGTATATAGAATATTTTACGCTCTAGATTTAGGGTCACTAAGGACCAATTTATGAAGGAATCTACAAATGTGGGATTATCTCAATTAAGTAAAACTGTGAAAGATAGCTTATTTTGAGATTGGTTAAAAATAATCATTTTTTCTCGTGGATGCCATTTAGTTATGTTGGTTACATTCTTGGGTGTAACATTTAAAATATAAAATCGAACCTCATCTACATCTTTTCCCTTGCAACTATGTTCACAGAAAGATATACTCTCTAAAAAAATTCATGGAAATTGAAAGACAAGTGGATGATTATATAATTTCATATATTATGAAAAACAATAAAATGAAGGGAAACAGTAGCACGTATGTTTATTGTTTAGTCTAATTTCATTGGTACATCTTCCGTTTTTTTGGGCTTTAATCCTCGAAGCTACCCTACGTTTTGGTCCCTGGACTAATTACTGTACGTATTTGATTTGCATCCATCAACTCCTTATCGAACAGAAGGCTGATAAGCTATGCCGTGTTTCACAAGGTGCGCCACCTTATGGTCTCGTTGAGATGCTCTTCTATTATGGGCCCAACCTCTTTTCCTATTAATTTCTCTTTTAATTGTCACATTACTCCTTCAAATTGATCCAAACCATAATAGACGGTATGTATTTTCCGTGTAAAATTTTGGTACGCACTAGAATTTGTTAGGACTTAGGAGCTATGCATATATTCAAATCATAACAAATTTGTGGTACGAATTGAACCGAAGTGTGTACTCGTAACACTTTCACATTTCAAGCTTTTCTAGTCATCGGGTTGATGTCTCACTCGAACTCTATCCCTAACTCTTTTCATTCGAGCAGACCCTCTAGGACTATGATTGTTTCATAAAACTTTGTATTGATCTACAAATTTATTCATGAACTTCGTGATTAAATCCTCTTCTTATAATTCGTGCTATTCTTTACGGAGTACGTTATTTTCTCGACTAGCCAATACATAAAATGTATAATACCCCCAAAGTTGAGAAAAAAAAAAAAAAAGTGGACGAAAATGTAGAAGGAAACAAAATAGTTTAATTGGAAGACCAAACGTCAATGACATAAGTGACAAGGCGAAAGAGATGTTGGACATGACTACTCACTACTCACTGCAGCTTATCCATTGCCCCACTGCTTCCTTCTTTGTCTCTTCTCTTTTTTCAATTTCTTAAACCTAATAGAGTATCTTATTGGTATTAACTTAAAATACTAGGGAATTAGCGAATTATAATACAGAGTTATAGTAATAATAATTTGTATTTTTTTTTTTGAATTGCTATAATGAATTAATGATTGGACATATAGGAATTTTAATGTGTTTTTTTTTTTTCAATTTTAATTTATCTTAATAAATAAAATAGACCGATTACATTGATTTTACCTTATAATAATAACAATGGATTAGAGCTAATTATCCTAAAAATGAAAGGAATTATTTGTACTCCAATGAAACTAAAACTATCTTAGAAAAGTTAAATGGAATAATAGAGATTTGACACGCAGGCAATCCTAAAAATTGAAATAAGGTGTAAGAATTTCGACGTAGCTAAGGAACAATTTAGCCGTCAACCTTAAGATCCGTAAACCGCTAATGATTGGATCCCAAAAATTACACCTAATTTAAAGCTACTCGTACTACCTAGAGTAGCTACTCCATCCAAAAGTGGAGTTACGACTAACATAATAAATAATCCACCGACTATTATTATTTAGCCACCCATTTAATTAAGTAATAATATACATATACTTTTTGTCAAATTAAAAATACTTATAATAAGACTTTTGTTTATAATCTTTAAATTAATTTGACAATGGAAATTCAGGTTTATTTAACATGTTGCTCCGTCTATAAATATGATGAATATGTCAATTCTCAAACTAGTTTTCCACTGTATAGTGGAATTGGGTTAATTGATGATAAGGGTATACGCCAACAATGGATATAGCCCATATAGACGCAAATTTGCTCCAATGCTCATGTCATACCGGTGATCCCATTCCCATACACATTGCTATTATAATTTTTAGCTATATTACTTTACTTGCACAATTATTGCATGTATGAAGATAGATAATGATATATTAGTGTCTTAATGATCGCTGACTTAACAATCTCCCATCACACGTGAGACGCAATGTATAAGAATGTACGTAGAATTATAGATTAACTATTGTTGACATTCTTGTGAAAAGATACCAAAATAATGCATGCAAATTTTAAAGGCGTATGAAAATAATAGACCATGCATAACATGCCGACCGCTCTGTTTGTATGACCATGCAAACATGTATGCGTACACTATACAAAAATGTATTGATAATATATTAGTACTTGTATATATTAAATTTTTAATCAAAAGAATGCTCCATACTTTACGTATTTTATTGTCCGTGTTAGTAGTAACACATTATGATTCTATGAATGATTGTGAGCTTAGCTAAATACGGAGTACTTGTTTATACTTCAATTACGTAATTGAATTACAGTAATGTGCGTTTTCATGTTTTGCAAAATGTGATGGAAATAAATCTTCGATAAATGTGTAATAATCCATAAATGATTACAGTATATTAAAAATAATCCGTTTACGTGTATCATAAAATCAAATTAGAATTTATTTCACCCGAACCACATACAAGTCCACAATGTCACAATCTACTTGATAGAGGTCTCCTTACATATTTTAAAATATATGCAAAGTACTATATACTTTGTTATACCTAGTTAGTTTGGTTCGACAATTTAATATTATTTTTTTTAAATCAACACCAACAACATATTGATCTCGTCAAAAAAAAAAAAAAAAAAAAAAAAATGATTTGTAAGATGAAACATTAATTAGGCTTATTACAAGTGGGCTAAAATTCCTCTTTTTTTCAATGAATCCAGCCCAAACCTATTTTCAGTTTATGAAGTCTATCACCATACTTTGTACAATCGTATTCTAAGTGAAATCTATATCTATAATATTACTGCCATTGGTGATGAACGCTTCAATATGATTTCGCGTCACATAAACAGTAAGTATCACCTTATGTGCCATCACTAATCATTATAACAGTCTTCATATCTATCTATAATATTATTAAAACTCATACCGACAATAATATTATTAAAATTCAAAAGGACAACATGCTACCGTCATGTGTCATCATTAGTTCAATATAATTTGGCATCATATAAGTGTTTATGTTTCATCACTAATCACCCCAAAACTCTTTATATGTGTAAATTCCGTATTTAATTTCCCTATAAAATGTAACTCCTTAATAATTGCACAATAATCTGCGGTTGAATTTGTAAGACATTTATCACACACTAATGTCTGTTGATTCCTTGAATGCCACCCATAATTTTCTAGATTTAATAATAGTCAAGCCATTATTAAAAGAAGAGAGCCAAAGCTTACTCCTCAACTCTAGTGACATACTTATTCTGTTCCAATTATATTTTAACAAGGATGAAATTATGTATTTCAAAACACATTTCATATGTTAAATATCTATAATTGTGTAAGAGTAAAAATTATAAAAAATTGACAATGTGAAAGTATTTTATAAGGCAAATATAACAAAATCACACATGAGTATATTTTATTTAACATTTAGATATATCATATTATAAGTTCAAACAAGAGTGATAAATAATACAGAAATCTCACTGTTACAATATTATTGAAACGGAGAAAATATAATCTTAAAATACTACGTATAATGAAACTTGTTAATGACGGGTGCAATCCAGACCCACACAATTCGTGCAATTCCCGTTTCTATATTGGGTGGAACAGAGACCCTGAATAAATAGAATCATGGACATAAAGATCATTAAATTTAGAGCCTCCAATTTCAACTTTTTCATCACAAGTAGTAGGCAGCTAATACTACTAGGCTACTAGCATGGGGGAGGAGAGAGAAAGATAGCTTCTTCATGATACAGTACGACACTCACTACTCATCACTCAATACCACATTGAAGAAACCGCATTAGTTCATTCACCAGATAATACAGTAATAATACAGCAATAGTACTAGTACGGCTTTTTTTTTTTTTTTTTTTTTTGGCATTTTCTTTGTCTTTTGTTTACACTTTAATTTGTTGTTTCTTAGATTCTACTCCGTAGCTTACTTGATATTAACCCATGCCTCTCTTTCCCTCTTGTTTTCAAGTATTTTTCTTGGTAATGTGCATAAAAATAAAGTGCATACGTGCAAGAAACACTTGTATTGCTCATTTCCCTTGATTGTTATAAGGGTTAAAATAAGCCAACAAAGTGAAATTTGGAAGCAACCTCAACTATTTAATCTGTTTTATACTCCTTTTTTCCAACTTCGTTTTTTTTGACCTTGTTTCATCACCATATATGGCTATGTGACAATTACTCCACCAACCCATCATTTTTAAAGATTAAAAATTGAAGAGGGAAATAAAAGGCTAATTATGCTTAGTGTATACTTCGTATGTAACTATGTAAGCTAACAAATTGCAAAAAACTTTTATGAGGCTATATTTGTATACAATTAACTTGTAAAGTGGAGGCTTGGAGAGAAATAAGGAGCTCAACCCACAAGGAAACCTTAATAAAGCAGGATAAAACCAAGTTAATCGTGATACACCAACTAATATTTATAGATTTGTCATTGATTTCTCACAAATCTTTTTCGACGAGACATAATATTGGGCCTGAGTATACTAAGGATGAAACTATGACTATACGAGTGTTTATTTGTTTAAGTGGAGTATTATAGATGACTATTTATATATAATAATTAAATTAATTAAGGGTGATTTGATGCGTGTCACATCTTAGATTAATTGATAACAATATATCACTAGCTTTGTTATTTTTGATTGACATAAATTTAAAGATCGAAAAATGAATTAAAATAGAAAGATAATGACACGTACGTAGTATATGTATTAATGTATTATTCCTTATCTATGCTATGCTACTCCACTAATTTGTTTATTAATATAGCAACATTATTAATATTGCTATACCTATATAAATAGCTACTAACTACACATTATTGTACATTTTCGTAGAGAGGATAGTTGTACGAATAAGCAAAATAAATACCCATGATGCATGCATGATTTCATAGGAGATGAGGACTACTGAAGGGACAATTGATTATTAATTAATACTATAAGAAAATTAGTAATAAACATAGGGGATCTTTGGTTGGTCTTGCCACTAATCATTTTTGTATAAAATATTATGAACATAAAATCCATAAGATATTATTAACAGGAAAAATTCATAAAATTAAGCATATACTATTTGTAAGCAAACCAACGGTTGGCTATTGGTCCTTTTCAATGAGATGATGGTTTTCTCTCCTTTTTTTTTTTTCTTTTCATTTTTCTTTTTTCCACTAGAATAAATTTAAAGTAAGGACAAATAATCAAACGGAAAGATTATAATAAAATTAATTAATTTATTTAATTTCATTTATACTTTCTTTTTGTAAGTGCCTGCCCCTCTTTTGTTATCTTTCTCAGTTTCTCTTTAATTTCTTTGTGGTGTTGTTGTCATTGAAAAGATAGGGGGTAGGAAAGAGAAAGCAAATAGACTAGCGAGCAAATTCATATGCTATATTATACTATACCCTCTTGCACAAATTAAAGTGCCAAAAAGAAACCATTATCTTCACTCCAAACATGAGAAAACATAAATAACAATTGCTTTTGTTTTTATTGAAAGTCAATCATGTAAAAGAAATACTCCTTAATAAATTTTCAATCAAATTGAATGATGAACAAGAGTGTTCCCGGCCCATATTTCGTGTTAAAAACTTACAACTAGTAAAATCTAAAACATGGTTTTTTTTCTTTCTTTAACACTCAAACAAAAAAGGGTCCGTTAACTCAATTTCAAAGTTTTAAGGTGCTTTCTAAGTTATCATTCCGACAATTTTAGAAAACTCAATTCTTGCAAATGATTAAAGGTTCAAAGGTAAAGATTTTCTTTTGCATCAATATTATTGTATACACTCGAAATTGTCTTTATAAAGTCATAAATTTTAAAACACCTGCAAAAGTAAAATATGCACTCAATTACATGCCTAATGCACTAATCAAAACAGCGCCAATATTTGTTAAATAAAGGAGAATCAAACTAGGTTAAGTTAAAAGGGAGATAAAAAGAAAAAACAAATCATCAAAAAAAAAAAAAAAAGAAAAGAAAAGAAAAAAAGATGGCACCTGAAACTGAAGTAGTAGTAGTAAAGAGAGAAAAAATAAGCACACGTGTAGTAAATCATAGGAATTTTGGCATGAGCAAGTATTCCAATGGATGACTTTCTCACTCACTCACTTATTCACTCACTCATTCATCTGAAAATCTAATAAGCTTGGGGACCATTTTCAAAGAAAGAGAAAGATTAATTAAGATGCTGAAAAAGGGGACATCTTTGATTTTAGATACACTCTAAAGCACCAACAAACACTAGATTTTTATACTTTCCTACTTACTAACTGTTTCCTCAACTTCCTTTCCTAGTTTATTCACTGTTTAGGAAATTTTAAACGTTTACGAGTTTATATATGTATGTTGTATACTTGTATGTAGTGTTAGGGCTCCCTCTTCTTTACGATAATTAAGTTGGGTTCGTCCTAGCTAATTCTAATTTATTAAAAATTTATTTTATCGATTATTTTACAAGTATTTAATATATTTCTATCATCCCACTTTAATGTTTGATCTAATTGCACACGGATCACTTCATGAGTTAAAGAGGCAAGGCAACAATTCACCTGCTGAAATTGACATTTGCTAAAAGGGAAGACTTCAGGTTCTTCAAGTGATTACTCTTTTTTGGGTATGTCATGTAGCCTTAATTATCACTTATTTTACTCGTGTAAACTAACACTCCATCTATTTCTAAGTACAACTAATCTTGTATACAAGTATATATTCTTAATGGTCCATTTAATTACCTTTTACCAAACATATACGTAGTGTATATATAAAAAAAATACCCCTCAATTGTCAAGTTAATTTCTACTTCATACAATAAATCTATTACATTGCATTTCCAAGATCGACTGTGGCCGGAAATTAAATAAAAGATACAGAGTACTTCGTAATAATATTAATAAATAAAAAATGAATCTAGCAACATAGGGAATTTTTTTTATATATATGCAATATGAAAGTTGAATTATTGGTTTTGAGAATAAAATACAAGAAAGAAGACAAATGCGGAGAAGTAATAGGTATATACTCTGTGTAACAGCAGTACATTTTTTATTGATTGACATAACAAGAAAAATAACAAGTTAGGAAATAATTGTATAATTATCATGTTTATTTATAGTAAATTGATAAGACTTATCAGGCACTCACGACGACAAAAGCTGCAAAATGTGAGAGAATTTCTTTTGTCTAATGATAAAATAGAGCTTAATGACTCAGTTAATAACATACTAATAGCAGTAATTTAAAGAATTAATGGAATGATTTGGGTTTCTTGACGGCACCTAATTACTCTTTATTTTAACCATTACTTGCCTTAAATCACTGCTTAATAAAATAATGTTGCAAAACTTGTTGTTTAACATAATACAGTAAGAAATTAATTAGAAAACGCCTTCTTGATTAAATTAATTAACCCCCTAAATAATACAGTAATAAATAAAGGAAAACCCCCATAAAACAAGTTATTAAGTGAACATGACTTGTTACCTGGATAATAAGATGATCATATGTTTGAATTTTGATGGAACTTCATCTTCTACAACAATGGTCGATCATAAAATAATAATAATAATAATAATAATAATAATAATAATAATAATAATGATGATGATGAGTATATACAATGATTAATTAATTAATTGATTAATATACGAGATTGGATTAGAAAAATAATATTATGCTTGCTTTCACATAATATATAATCACAATTTAATCCTCCAGCGTTGGACAATAATTGATCCTTGATAATAAAGTCAAATTAAAAATAATTATATATATAAAAAAAAAAAAAATTAGGTAGTAGTTGTAGGAGGACCTACACCAGCAGTACTAGCACCACCAGCGGCATCTCCACTTCCGCTACCACCATCCCCGGACCCACCAGTTCCGAGGACTCCACTACTACTGGCAGCTGCATCCACTGTTGTAGTGGCGGTGGGAGCGGAAGTGGAGGTAGTAGTGGTAGTAGAAGAAGAAGCACGTTTTCGCTTCTTCTTTTCGTAAGGGATACCACGGGCTTTAGCCTGGCTCTCCCTTACCTCACGAAGGTAAATCCTAACAGCGCGTGCACCAAACGGGTTGGATTCAGGTCGGCCACCATTCTCTTCGTAAGCAGCACGAAGACGGCCAATAAGAGCGTCGAGGCTACCCCAAGCCTGCTTAAGCGGGCAAGCACACGGGGCGGGTGGATTAGGGTGACCGAAATAAGGGCAACCAGTGATGTGTACCTTAGTTTTACCAAATTGGTCCAAATACTTGAGAAATTCTATTACATGTGCTCCACTGCACCTAGACAAAGATAGAGGAGGTTTGTGGTTTCTCAAGTATTGTAAGAAAGTATTCCAGTCTCGTCTTTTTTGCGACTCGTACCTGCTTGGTGGCGCTGCGGTTGTCGTTGATGTCGTAGTCGATACGACTAACTGAAACCCATCATCCACACCACCACCACCGCCGCCGCCACTAGATGAGCCATGGGTGAGCTCTCCTCTTTGTCCTGATGATGATCCTTCGCCGCCGCCGCCGCCTCCGGTTTCGGATGTTCCACCCCCAGTAGTATCCATAATAATATATGATCTATGTATAAAAAAATGGTTAATTTCCAATGATTTTAAATATTTGTGAAATTGGGTTTTTTTTTTTTTTTTTTTTTTTTTTTTTTTTTTTTTGGGGAGGATTTATAAGTGATGGGACGTGAAAAGGAAGAAAAGATGAATGAATAAGACGAAGCTAAGTAGTAGTATGTCGTTGGCTCCGGAGAGAGAAAGAAAGAGCCAATCCCTAAAAGAGATGGATGCCACTATCAAGAGTCTTGTGAGGAAGAAAAAGGAAAAAAAAATAAAATAAAATTATTTTATTTATTTTTATAAATTTAAAAATAAAATAAAAAGAAAAAAGGGAGGAATTTGAGAGAAAGAGAGGGAGGTAGGGAAGGTGAAGGAAAGAAGAAGAAAGAGAAGGGGGGGTGGGATGAAGGGTGAGCTTATAAATCATCACGTGGCTTTGGCCCCCTCTAGAAGGGACATACCTATGCTCTGCACCTCTTTTTTTTTTTTTTTTTTTTTTTTTTTGGAAAATTAAAAAAAAAAATTATTACATTTTATTTTTGTGACAATTTTGAGTGTTGTGAGTGAGTTTTATTTTATACATTGTCTTTTTATATGAAGTTTTACTAATTTAAGGAATGTATTTTGATTTGTTAGGTAAGGTAAGGATCTAATGGCTAATAGCTTACAAGGGTGATTGTCATCACTTTGTCTTGTGGAAATAAGGGGGTGTCAATAGGAGTTTTGCAAGTGTAATAACAACTTGGGACTTTAATTTTCATGGTTGATTGAACTATGGAAGAGATTAGGTATAGGAAGGTGGTTGAGAATAGAGATGGTAGTGGGTTGTGATTAGGGGATTTTGCTCCCACCAATCGGAATGCGCCACGTGGGCCAATCAGATCCTGCCAAGTGTCCCCCAGTTGGAACTGTCAGGGCTTGCCACGTGGCACGCGCTTATTCGTCCACCTTGGACCTATTATGTCATGACATGTGGCATACTCCATGCCTAATGGAGAAACTGGCCATCCAGGCCCAACTTCCGAGGGAAGCCCAATCAGCCCTAGGTTAACCTAAACCTAGGATGGGCACGTTTCCCAAGGTTATAAATACCCACCTTAATCCTCATTAAGGGGGATTACGAAAAAACACATTAATTACACACCGTAATAACCGGCTGATCTCGCTAACAAAGCAGATTACCTACATTAAACACTCTCACCTAGAGAGACCCAATCACTTTAATTTCCGCATTAATTACTCCTTAATCAAGTACTAACTTGACCGTTGGAGGCGGAGCTCCCACCACCAGGAGTCTCCGTTATTTTGCAGGTACAGGCGTCCGGTTCCAGTCTCGGAATTGTAACTCTCCCGCAGGACATCAGAAAACCTCGAAACATTTGGCGCCGTCTGTGGGGAGAGTACTTCTGAGATGGCATCCAAGTCTGTACCGACTCCTGAAGAGAGGCGTCCCCTAGACGACCCTCAAGTTCAGTCGGACCATGATACCGAGAGTGAATTTGAAGTTGAAGCTCACACAGCTTCAGACGGGACCCTAAGGGCCCGACGTACCCGTCATACCGAAAGGAGGGAACGGGAACATCTTCAAACTGGAAGTGAGCCAGCAGGCGCACCGCCTGTTCGGCAACAGCCGACTGATGGGTCTGATCCCATCACAAGGAACGAACTCATGACCTTCATGAGGAACTTCAAGGGAGAGATTCAAGAGTTGATCAACAAGAAGCCGCCTGCTCCAGTCAAGGAGCAGTCGGCTAAGAAACCCTCCACTTCACTGAAGAGGAAGCCAGTTCAAGGGCGAGAGGCGACTCCTCATCCTAAATCTAGGAAGCGGGAGCCACCTGCCCTTGATTTCACAAAATTCCGTTTTCCTACAGGAAATAGGAAACCTGTTCGTCATATTCAGGCGGACGGGTCGAAGCAAACATTCACAGACGCTCGGCTACTGCTAGAGCAGAAGAAGAGTGACCGATTGTCAAAGTCGGCCTCTACTTCAAACTTTCAAGACAGTCTGCGAAATGCCTCGATGAGGCATACTCAGTCGTATCATGAGAGTCAGTCAGGCGGCACCTCCCGTCAGTCCGGCTTTCATAGCGACCAGGCGGTACCAAACTTACCATTTGTGCCGCAACAACAGTATTTTTTGCAGCCACCTCCGTTTGGTGGACCTGCAGCAAAAAACGTCCAACCTATGGACTGGCAGCTACGGTTGCTTAGACTTGGTGAACAGCCGTCGGCCTTCTCCAAGGAAATTACTGAAGTCGCTCAGCCGGCCAAAGTGAAAAATGTACTAGTAGGCGCCTATGACGGCACTACTAACCCAGAAGACCATCTGATGGCATTCACCAACCTGATGTACCTTCAAGGGTTGGATGATCCCACTTGGTGCAAGTGTTTCCCAGCGACTCTCAAAGGAATCGCACAACAATGGTTCGGCAACCTGCCGACTGGTTGTGTAAATAGCTTCAGGACGCTTGCTTACTTATTCACCTCCAACTTCGCCATGAACATCCCTGCGAAGAAAACGACCCTTGATTTAGGAACAATTCAGCAGGGCGAGAAGGAGGGGCTTCATTCTTACATCAGGCGGTTTAACCTGATGAGAATACAGATTCAAGGGTTACCGGATGAGGTAGCCTATACTGACTTTTTCAGAGGTCTCAAAGACGGGTCTACCTTCAAATTTGATTTGGTTCGAAAGAGGGTGACGACTCTTCAAGAGGCCTTGATTGAAGCAGAAGCCTATATACAGGCGACTGATCTTTGTACGGTAAAACAGTCGGACGGGAAAAGGTTCGACAAAAGAGAAGGACGACAGAAACAGTCGTCAAACAAAGATGAGAAGAGAAAAGAGGTCTGGGCGGCTGATTCCTCTAAACAGCCGGCCCAGAAAAAGAAAAAAGAATTCAAACCATACTCCCCAAAGTATGCGTTTAACAAAGATAACCAGTTTATCCTAAAAGAAATCAAGGGACGGATCTCAATTGAGAAGCCGGTCCCCATGAAGGGTTCTGCAAACAACCGGAACCAAGATAAATTCTGTTCTTATCATGATGATGTTGGTCATCACACCAATGACTGCATCAGTCTCATGCGGTATCTGGACCGCCTGGCTGAGCAAGGTGATCTTGACACTTATGTCAAGAAATCTACGAGGAACACTTCCTCAAAAAAGCAGTCGGCCAAAAAGAATCAACAGGCCGACAGCTCCGGTACAGATGATGCAGTCGTCTACACCATTGCAGGCGGCTTCTCAGGAGGCGGCCCCACTATTAGGGGAAACAAAGACAATATCAGGCGGTTAGATGTAAATTCCGTTCACCAAGAACGGCCGTCCAAATATTCATTTCCTGAGATTGTCATCACTGAAGAAGATCTAGGAGGGGTAAGAGGGCCGCATGACGACCCTATCGTTATTGAATGTAAAGTGGCCAACCAGAGAGTTGGCCGAATCCTCATAGATACCGGAAGCTCCTCAGATCTCATCAGTAGCAAATGTCTATCGAAACTAAAATATCAGACTGATTGCATACATCCGGCCTCCCACCCTTTAGTAGGGTTTGGAGGAGGAGTCGTCCACCCACTGGGACGAGTGGATTTACCCATCCGCCTGGGCGAAAAAGGGGAAGGACGACACATGGTAGTCCGGTTCCTGGTAGTAGAAGAACTCTCGGCCTACAACATGATTCTGGGTCGACCAACCCTGAATAATTCCAAGGCTGTTATAATCCCATCTCTTATGTTGCTCAAGTTTGAGAGGGATAATGGAACAGTCGGCTCCCTAAGGGGAGATCAGAGGATGGCCCGAGAGTGCTATCTCTCGGATGTCAAGCCCACTGTTATGGCCACTGGGTCAAGCGGTGAAAAAACAGACCTTGACAATGTCAAGGAGAGTGCGCATGTTCAAGAAGCAGGCGGCAAGAAGAGAAAAGCATCCCAGACAGGGGCCGCAAGAAAAGAAAGAAAATAGCAATCATTGGCAGAGGAACGGTCGGATGAGTTCCGCCCTCAGCCGGCTGGTGAGCATGCGGACCTGATCTTAGACGACTCACGTCCTAACCGAACAGTCAAGGTTGGTACGACTGCTCTGAGAGACCTTGGTGACGACTTTCACAAACTATTGAAAGAATACAAGGACATCTTTGCATTCGAAGTCCATGAAATGCCAGACATTAGTCCTGTTCTGGCGGTACATAAGCTGGCCGTGGATCCGAAAAAGAAGCCGGTACGGCAAAAGAAGCGGAACCATGGCGAAGAAAGAAGTCAGGCGGCAGCCGCCGAAGTTAAAAAATTACTTGATGCAGGGTTCATTCGGCAATGTTACTTCCTAGACTGGGTTGCAAATGTGGTGCTTGTTAAAAAGCCGAATGGCACCTGGCGAATGTGTGTAGACTAAACAGACTTTAACAAGGCGTGCCCCAAAGACAGTTACCCTCTGCCTAAAATTGATAACCTGGTCGACTCAACAGCCGGCCATGCTTTGATGAGCTTTATGGACGCCTATTCTGGTTTCCATCAAATTCCTTTATGGAAGAAAGATCAGGAGAAGACGGCCTTCGACACTGATCAGGGGTTATACTGTTACACGGTCATGCCGTTTGGTCTTAAGAATGCCCCGGCTACCTTCCAGCGAATGATAAACACTGTGTTCTTTGATCAGATTGGGAGAAACGTCGAGGCATACATTGATGATATGATTGTCAAGACTAAACTTCAGAAAGATCATCTGTCGTTCCTCCGAGAAAATTTCGCCACACTCAGGCGGCACCATGTCATGCTCAATCCCAAGAAATGTGTATTTGGAGTTGAGTCTGGGAAATTTCTCGGATTCCTTATCAATCAGAGAGGAATAGAGGCGAACCCTGAGAAGGTGCAGGCGGTCATTGACATGCAGTCGCCTCGTACCATCCGAGAGGTTCAGAAGTTAACAGGTTGTCTGGCGGCCTTGGGAAGATTTCTAAGCCGATCAGGCGACAAATGCCTATACTTTTTTCAGGCAATTAAGAAAAAGGCAAGGTTTGAATGGGGGCCGGATGCTGAGGCCGCCTTCCAGAAATTGAAAGTTCACTTGCATTCCTTGCCGAGGCTGGTCAGCCCTTTGCCCAAAGAAGTACTCTACATGTACCTGGCCGTCTCTGATCATGCGTTAAGCGCTGTTCTCCTTGCTGAAAGAGACGGCTGTCAGCTCCCGGTCTACTTTGTCAGTCACGTACTGAAAAATGCCGAGTTAAGGTATCCCCTAGTGGAGAAATTTGGTCTTACACTCTTCATGGCTGTTAAAAAATTGAAGCCCTACTTTTTGGCACATGCAGTCGTCGTGTATACAGACCAACCTATCAAGCGGCCACTTACCATCATGGAGTCATCAGGCTGAATGATCAAATGGGCCATAGAAATACAGAGCCTCGAAGTTACTTTCGAGCCTAGAAAAGCAGTGAAGGGGCAAGCCTTTGCTGACTTTGTTGTAGAGATGACTCGTCCTCCTAACTCTCAAGTTCCAGACCAAGTATGGAAGGTATATGTGGACGGAAGCTCTACTTCAAATGGTTGTGGAGCAGGCGTCATATGTCAGTCGCCAGAGGGCGACAGGTACGAGTATGCTCTACGCTTCAGTTTTCAGGCCTCAATCAATGAGGCAGAATATGAAGCTTTACTAGCCGGAATCCGCATG